TTATGGATGTGTTCAGAAGTTTCAATAATAACTTTTTTATTAAACATAAACAGACATAGGTATTATGGTTATAGTCTTTGTAGGAGTTATTACTAAAAGCTATAGTCTTGGCTTGAAAAATATAAATTTGTGCAGAGAATTAATAGTAATATTTAACTTATTAGTACCTATGTACTTACATTGTAAGAAATCCAGTGGTGTAGCCCAAGGGGGCTAAAGGGGATATAGCTCCCCCCATTGACTGTGTTGACCTCAGATTTTTATCAAGATTAATAAAAAAATAAAAGTGTAAATAAAAGACATATTGTACTTAAATTCAAAATACAAAATTCATGGCTACGCCACTGAAGGAATATTATATACTTATTATAAACTGGACGTTTACTTTACACCTACGAAAGAAGGAAGTCTTCTTTTATACAAATCGAGAATGGGTATTGATGATTGAGATTGCACTGAATAATATATCAACATTCAACAACGTATAATGTTTGATTTATAAATGCGCATAGAAGTCGCCGAGAATAGATGTGAGACCAGCGATGTCGGTGGTGTATTTTGAAGAGCCTTTAAAGCTATTTTATATGTACAGGCGATTCGTATAAATAATGCAATTTTCATGAGCCGGATGACGATGTCTCGGACATCGATCCAATGCAAAATATCATAATAATATAATACAACTGTAACCTACATGAAGGCGTGCACTAAAATGTGCTTATGAAGCATACTGGTCGTGCACATAGTGCATTTTACGTTAAATTAGCTATCAAGCAGATTAGTCGATTGTAAACACGTTTCGAGCTCTATTGTTATAATATATTATTACATTTTGTAATTATTTACATTTTAACTGGCCGTACCTATAATATATAATATACTGAAACAATTATTTCCGCGTACGTACTATAATATAGTCTACAAGTGCCCATCTAGTCACCGAAAAAAAACTCGATAGAAACTCGTTTATTCGCCTTTACTTTTATTGATTTCAGATGAAACGAAAGTAAAGTAGCCAGTAGGTATATTGTTCGAGTGTTTATATGTGCACGACTTTTGATATCTTAAATCGGATAACTTTGATCTAGAGATTATGGTCACATACCGATTACCGAAGCCAGTTGAAGTTCAGCTTGCAATTTATTATAAATTTGAATAAATCAACAGCATTGTAAAATATGAAATTCATAAAACATAATATTATGTATTATTAATGTACCAACTACCTACTGAGTGGATATTTTTTAAGTTTATACTAGTATATTTATGGACTATGGTATAACGAGGTATTATAATACATTAAAAACGATATCTTATGGAAATAAAAAATGAATTAGGTATGACGGTTATATTATAATAATACAAACACAATACCTACTTTTTTCAGTTTAAAATAAATTACGATCGAAGCATTAAATTGACATATTATTATGTTTGTGAAATCGCATACTTGAGACTACTAAATATTTATTTATTTATTTTTATATGATGAGTTGTGGCTTAAGAGGACGTTACACCGACATATTTTGTTGTCTCCGTTTTACAAGTGCGTAACTTAGCAAATAGTACGTTCAACCGAACATGTTTAAATCCGTTAGTTTAAAAATTAGAGTGAATTGACCTCTTATAAAATGAAAAGGTAAGGTTATTATCTAGACAATAGCTCGGGCTTTATATTATGTTTTAATTTTAAAGCGAGTTATGAGTATTTTAAAATTGTAAATTGTTTGTCATCTTAAAATGCTCATAACTCACTTTAAAATTAAAATATAATAAAAAGCCCATGCGATTGCTTAGGTAATAATCTTATCTTAACATTTTATAAGAGGTCAATTCACTCTATTTTTTTAAACTAACGGAGCTAAACGTGTTTTTCTGAGCGTACGATTTGCTATGTTACGCACTTGTAAAACGGAGACAACAATATACCTATGTCGGTGTAACGTCCTTTTAAGCTACTTATGTCTTTATGCAAAAATGTCCTTAGTCGTTGTCCTTAAAGTAGTAAGAAAAAAATGAATCCGCAGTCGAAGTTTAACTTTGAGCATAATAATAGTACCTATATTGCAGTTAAGTTTATATCCAAAAATATTTCCTACCTATACTCTGAAAACCATTTTTTTAACCGATATTTGATATAATATAATATATTAAATATCTTACGAGTATTTAGTATTTACCTACAATTAAATTGTATGAAGAAAACACAGGCGCAATTTCTTCATATTTCCTTAATATAATAAGCTTAATCTGAAAATGTAAATGATAGTAAATGGCACTAAATGCTGTTATTAAAATATGTATGTTTCAGTTAGAACTTATATTTAATATTTTTAATTTAAAAGTAGGCTGTAGGCTAGTGACCATAGTTTTTTCTAGAAGCTTTAACAATTAATTATAAAAATGTAAATGTGAATTTTTATTTTTAATATTTTAGTCAGGTAGGTATTAATTTCTTAAATTTACATCTAATGCAAAGTGCTTTAAGGTAATAATACATTCTTCGACAATTTTTTTTGTTAATTTTTCATCATACAAATAATAAGTCTAATGAACAATAATAAATTGAAATTTATTATTCAAACCGTAGACAATGATAATAAATATTATGCTACAAACTATTATAAAGAGATATTCAATAATATCTTTTGTAGTAGGTATTCAATTATTAACGCACATAATATAATAGTATGCTGAATATTATTCAATTATTCACACTATTTTTTTTTCATAATCTTTTTAATTTCCAATCGTTAAAGTATTTTTTTTTCAACTAATTAGGTTTACATATTATTATATACGATGATCTTTGACACTGACATGCAATTTAAATTACTATTTACTCTTAAATTATTTAAAACACAATTCGTTCGTGGTCTAACATTATTAACGCAATAATTTACAGTTGTAGGTAGGTAGGTATATATTCCAATTACCAGAATTTTTAGAAGCTAGAAGCTTTATAAATCAATTAATTTAATATACCTATACCTGTATATCCAATAAAAATATCATTAAGTATAAGTATAATTGTTTTGTTTCGATATTTTTTCGAGTAGGTATTATTTAATTTGTATAAATCACTGCTTTGGTTTGTTGAAATGTAGTTATCGGTATTAAAACATCACTATGTCTGCATTTGCACACCTCATATAATGACTAAACGATATAATGCTGAAGGACGTTTCTCTATATTTTACCCCATCAGCTGCACAAAGATTGTCAAACTGCACTACCTAAACCAAAATATTTGAATTGAACTCTATTTTATTACTCCATAGAACTTATAAATATTAATTTTATTTGAAAATGGCGTTTGTGATAGTTGGTACCACATGGCGTTATAACACTATATTATTATAGAAATAAACGCATTAATACGTATTTTTATATTATACTTTTGAAATTGTCTCTTTGTAGTATTAAAGTTGTACCTAACTATTTATTCGTTTTGAAAATAGTACTCGCTTTTATACTTTATTGCTATTTATTTTGAAAAAATAATTATATTTTTTTATCATTATTTTGAAATTCTAGCTATATGATGAAAGTATGCAACTAGGTATTATAATAAAAACAATAAACTATGTAGATAGAAAATTGGAAATTATTCTTACGGCTGATCGACTGATCTTCTTTAGTAAATTGTTTTGTAAATGTAATTATCAGTAAGAGTGCAATAATTTGAATATTACCTTTTTCTGTCTTCAGTGCAATCTGACCTTATCCTCACTCGTTCGCCCACACAAGCTTATGATATTTTATACCTACTATATTTACCGCACACGCATGACACGACATAAACACGCTGCATTACAGACGACTTATAACTTAAGCTACAATAATATGGTACAATCCAGCATTCCGCTCAATGTCCTCCCTTGCTATGAGTCTTTAGAGTGTCGACGCCCATGGGGCTTTGGCCTCTAATTTATATAAGCACTCAATAGAAGGCTGTTACACACCTTATTTATTTATACATATATATATTGTGTATTGCGTATAGGTAAGAGACACGTTTGCAGGATATGCGCAAATATGCTGTATTACTCTTATATAGGTTTGAAAAAAACCCCGCTCTTGGAAATAGTTAAAATTCTCATACCTATACTTCATAAGAGGGAATATTTTGATATATTAAAATCAAAATATGTGAACGAGTATTTTGGAGTTATTTAACTTTGTGTACGAGTATAGGATATTAGACCCATAGATCCACAGACCACAATAATGGGTTTCGAAAATATGCTTAGGCTATGACGATTTTATAATTTTAGTAATATTAATTTATAAACATTTGTAATTTGTAAAAATGGCTAAAGTATAATAATTACTACATTCAATATTACATCTATACTTCATACTTTTTTAAAACCATTTGTGAGGATTATTGTATTTACTATTTAGTATAAGCATTTCAATAACTGAGAAACTACTCTAGTTTGAATTTTGAATTAACTACATCAACATTTACAAAAAAATTATTCACAAAATAATTTACAGTAAGAAAGGGGAGAGGGGTTCTTATTTGAAAATCAGAAGTTTCTACTACAACAGTACTGCTTAAGTAGGTAGTACAAAAAATCAGAATTTGAATAAATTAATTATTAAGGGAAAAAATTGGGGTGAGCCTGCTTTCTGAATCATCCTGTATACACATACATGCGTGAAGGAAAAAATTCCTTTTGTTCTAGTCGTTGTTAAAAATTAGTTAGGGACCGTCTACTAAATACTTAAATCTTTCATATACGTATTACACATATATATATTACGTTATAACCTACAGGTATAGGTCTTCAATTTTTGTTTTACAAAAAATAAAACCGATTATTATTTATTTAAAACTAAACATCTATTCTATAGGAAATCCGGATTTTGTGATTAACTCTTCCGCCAAAACATAAATGTAACGGCTTTGGCTGATTGTACCGACCTCGGTCCGAGACGATATCGGTTATAATAATTTCACATCAAATCGTTTTCTTTTTTTCCGTGTGCAGGATGATCCAACGAGCCTTTCGATCGGGCCACATAGACATCAACTGCGTGGACTCTTTTGGTCGAGGTGCTATTAATCTAGCGATCGAAGCCGAAAATTTGGAAATGCTCGAAATGCTGGTTGTAATGGGAGTGGGACCCAAGGACAACCTGTTGCACGCCATTAATGCTGAGTTCGTCGAGGCTGTAGAGCTCCTTCTCCAATACGAGGAACTGGTACACACGGAAGGCGAACCATATGTGAGTAATATTATGTGAAACGTATAATTTTATTCAATTTAACTTAAGTTGTCATTTTTTATCCGTCAACAATTTTAAATCGATCTACATCAAAATTATTATTTTCGTTTAGAACCATACAACCGTACAATATTCTCAGAACATTTTACGACAAATTTATAAAATATAAATCACATTACATAATCTCGAAATGCATTAAATAATTTTCTGATTGCTACGCACACGATGCACACATTGTAGGTGTTCACAATATCATATAATTATATATGTATAGATGGTTAGGATTTCATGTTATTCATTTATATAATTATTATAATCAAACTGCAACTATTTATTTATTAGAGACAATTAATAATTTAACCTTGTCATTATTGCGTTCAATTATATTATATAATATAATAAAATAAGAACATTGTTGTTATTATTTACAAATAGCGTGTTGGTCAAACAATTTATATTTATATAAACATTAATTATAATGATGTGTAGGTATTTATTATTTATAAACGACGTACCCAATTTAAGCACCTTATTACGGTTCTTCTTAAATTCCATATTATATTGTCACTATCTGCAAATCAAATTAGAAAAAACATTAAAATGCATTACTTTCTAATTTGCAATAATAAATGCATATTTAGATTTCGTTTGAATAATTTTCTGACACTATTAGTTATTACTAATAGGTACCTAACTAATAAGTGATAAAATATTTAATAGTTATACCGAAAAACAATGTATTTTTCTATACATTTGATACCGATGCTCCTATAACTTGTCAATTAAAAAATGATAAAAACATATTTGTCATCGATTGGCAGCATTATATTATTATAGCAGTAATTTAGTATTAATAAATGTATTATATTATTATACTCTCACTCTTAATCTGCCTCGAATGACTTCTACAAATGGTATATTATTACGATGGGAATGGATATTAACGGAGTTACGAAAAATCACATGCACATTATAACTCATTGGGCATAAATTATACAATATATAAATACCCATATATCGGGCTAGTGGCTACCGCACTACACCCATATCCTTTTAAAAACTCAAATGAATCCACATCTTGGACAACTTTGTGGACTTCCTTCAAGCCACCACGAGTTTGACCCACTGACCAATTGGACTAGTTTACTGTAATCAATATTGTTCATATATAATAATTATACCTAATATATATAGATACTATTATGCCTGTCAATAATACCGAGGTAGATATTTGTCGATACGCGTATATCAGAATTCAGATTATGATGGATTGGTTTAATTATAGCGGACACGTATAACTAATCATAGAAATATTTTAATTTAGAGTTGGGAAAAAGTCGATTGGGACACCGCTTATTTCACTCCTGACATCACGCCGCTTATTTTAGCCGCACACAAGAATAACTATGAGATCATCAAAATGTTGCTGGACCGAGGAGCAACACTTCCGATGCCGCATACAATCAAGTAAACCTATATTATTATTTATTAGCTATATCGTGATCGTTTTAAGTGAACGGGTGCCTCACAATTTGTGGTTTATTTTTTAATGTCATGATAAAAGTACTGTGCCCCCGCCCCCTACCATCCACAGCTTGGAAATACTTGAGGGGGGGAGGCTCCAATGCCATGCAGGCCTAAATACGCCACTACAGGGTTTACCTGTTCCGATTTTCTATTGTTGGCTTTAATATTATTGAGCAATGATAAAATACCGATTAAACCAAACTTAAAGGTAAGAACATTATCAGTGTTCCCAGCTTGTAGGTGTTTTATGACACTTCAATTTTTAAGCAAATTATAAGTACAAGCACCTAGTTAAAATATTTAAATTTAAAAACGGAATTTGTTTTAAAATTATAGAAAATTGTTGGAAAAATCCAACGAGAGAGCTCAAATAATGTTCTTAGGTCTTACCTTTATGATTGATAATAATATGTAATTTACTCTAATAGTATTAAATCTAACAACACAAAAGTGGAGCCGTTAAAAGCAAATTATCCGCGTTGATCAACAGGTGATAACACGTGCGGGCTGTGAAGCTCCTCTCTTAAACGTTATTTTGTATTAATTAATTAAATCGCGTGCTCATTCCGACCACTGTCCGATGTATATTATTTTTATTCTTTCTCTCTTTTTGTCTTCCGTTACCTTACTGCTACTATATTATATTCTACAATCAAACTATTTTTTCTTAGATAAATTCTCTTATCTTCAATTATCCGTGTCTTTAAATAATTGTTTGAACTACATCTCATGCCCACCACACAATGACTACATAATATATTGTACAATTACGTCATGAATAATATAATCTCGGCGTTGTCGGTAAGGTAACCGTTAAATATTATACGCATACAGAGTGGCTGGTCGATGACTGCAGACTAGGTCATATTATTTTGAGAATTAAGGGTATACGTTAAACGTCAACATAACATTTTTTTATGGAGATAAGTTTCGAGAAACTCGACACTGGTGGGTGAATTGACTTGACCTACAGAAAAAGTTCAGTTGATCGTCATTCGTACGAGCTTAACTGTTATACGCATCACAAGCATACAGCCGTAGTCGAGAAGAAATTGTCACCAACAAATTATGTACTTACTCATTTTTACTACATAATTTTTCATCCTATTTTTGATCAAATATTCAGTAAACATTGATTATATTTATATACACCTATACCTAACTGCAGAATTATACATGGGATTTGACATTATTCATGTCATCGGCTGTCCATTACACCATATCAATTACATATTTTACTAAGACATAGGTATATAATATATAGATTATAGGTAGTGAGTACATCTTCCATAACATTTCAAAAGTATATTTTTTTTTATAGTTTCAAGTATATAATAAAGCCATTACATTCAATGATACATGTGTTGTTGTATAGGTATAGATAGTGTGTATCATAGCGATGGTATACGATTCAAAGATCAAACTATACTATAAGCAGGTTAGGTTAGAAAGTTATGAAAGTTACCTACTATTATTAAGTACCTTGGTAATTAATAATTATATTGTACGAAAATGAGTTAAAAATTGAAATGGTATGCCTAAATAATTTATCAACTCAATATCATATAGTTTCTCGTAAATTGGAAAACAATTATCTTTTAATTCACATGGTAACTATACAGATTACAGGATGGTTTAATAAGCATGCTCGACACCATTTTATCTTTAATATAATGTAACTACCTATTCAAAATCTGAATTTTGAAATTTTTTAAGACCTCGCTTTAAAATTCTTGAGATTTTTTGTTCCACTTGAGAAGTGCACTTTGGAGATACATACTTCTAATTTTAAAATAAGAATCCCGTTTTCGCTGTAAATTATATAATTTTAATTTTGATATGTCAAAATGTTCACAAAAATTATCCACTAAATAAATCACCGTAGAAAAGGGAGGTTCTTGTTTTAAAAACAGAAAATTGTATTTAGCACTGGGCACTCATTAAGTAGTACAAAAAAATCTCAATATTTTAAAAATATGGTCTGTAAGTAGGTAGGTATATTTAAAAATTCCAAAATTTAAAAAAAGCAGATTTTAAAAACTGCAGTGTTGAAGAAAAAAGGGTGTTAATATGCTTGGTGAATCACTCTGTAGTCTGTATGTTATTTTGCAATAACTCAAAGAAAGCTCGTTTAATGTTTTACATTAATCCGTACAATATCGGGTACAATATTTTATTTTATTTTATTTTACATTTTAATGTATTATTTATTTAATATTTTGCGTGAGGTACCTATATATTTTCTAGTTTTCTGATATATTAAATAATTATTATTTTTGTAAATAACTTAAACAACGAATATTTTATTGTTTTTGCTAGTACCAAATTTAACTCATATACCTATTTAAATACTAGTAAAATAATATTATAATGTCGAATTAACGAACGTGAGTTTGAAAGGCACTTTATAGTTCATAATTTTAATTAAAACCAAACAACTGGATCACACCCAATGCCATACGTTCCTTCCTTGAAATGTATATTAATTATAAGTACAACCCGTTGGTCAAAATAAGAGTTATATAATATTTATCAATTTTTGTTCTATTTTATCTATCAGCTCGTTTCTAATTTTTATTAAGTTTAAATTGTTATTATTATACACGCCCTGCATCACCAATTTAAATATCTATAATATTAGTACCTACTCATATAATTAATATATACACTACACAATATGTATGTTATCGCTTTCACATACGTCATTACTAGGACTCAAAAGGAGATGACTTTTAATATTTTTAACATCCTAGACGCTGATTTTCTATAGCTAAAAAATGTATTCAATATTATTTGAATCAGCTATTTTTAATTTGAATTTTTCGAAAGTTTAAACAAATTTGTTTGTAATTTTATGTTATTTTTAATCAATTTAGAGAGATAAGTCACGAATTTCTTTTCGTTTATTATTTATATCGAACTTAACAATTAAAAAAATTAAAAAATTAAATAATTTTAATGGTATTTTAAAATTATTCATTAAAAAAAAATATTTTAGTTTTCAAACTTAACAAATGGATTTAATAATTTTAACATAAATCTAGGATTATATTATTAATTTCGTTGTATTTTATTGTTTAATGTAAATATATTTTGATTTATAAATATTTATAATAATTATAATTATTATATTACGTTATATCATAATATTGTTTTAACGGAAATAAAAATAAAAAAAAACAAACGATGATAATAATTACGTTTTATTCAGGTGTGGGTGCGAGAAGTGTATTACATCTTCGAAAACGGATTCGTTGCGATACTCGATGTGTCGAGTGAACGAATACAGAGCACTGGCCAGTCCGTCGCTGATCGCACTTTCGTCAGCTGATCCAATACTCACCGCGTTCCAGCTGTCGTGGGAGCTGAGGAGATTGGCCAGAATCGAAAAAGAATTCAAAAACGAATACTTGGTAAACGCATTTCCTGAAATCGCAAGCGCAGTGATATTACGAGTATATTGTTCGATTTCACGGGCGAGTGAAACCGCACACCAAACGAATTTTCGTTATCGCTGCTAGACGCCAACGTTTTCGTTTTTTTTTTTTACATTCTGAGCTGAGCGATGGACATATTGATCTTACAACGAGCCGTGTGTGTTTTTTGTGGATGTGTATACGATATAACGCATAGAGTAGAAAAATTGCATTTGATTTTCAACTTTAATATTATTTCTTCTGATAGGAAAGTGCATCTAGTTGGTACTTTTGGGAGGCCAGAATTAAAAATTCACAGTATTTTTTCGAAATAATCGAGAAAAACAAAACAAGTTTTAGGGAAACGCGGGAATTTTTAAGGAACACTTGTTTTCGACTTAGATTTCCTTAGTATTTATTGTAATTCAATAGCAAATAACCGTAGATATTTGCAATTTTCACCAAATGTTTAATAATTAGAATTTTCAATACATATTTTAAATATGGTATAATCAAGGGTCGCAAAAAGTTTTAGTAGCCTATTTGAAAGTATTAAAGATATAGAGACACGATTTTTTTATAAGCATTTGAAGTTTAAAATTAAAGTAATTACAAAATTAGTCAAAATTACGAAAATTTTCCAAAAATATTGTACTTAGTTAAAAATGTATGAAATGTTCATATTTTATAGCTAAGATTGAAAATTGAATTTAAAGTTCCACTTAAGCAGTTCACATACTGACACTAAAATGTATAAACATTTTTGTTTTAGACATCTTAAGTTCTAATTTGATATTTAACGAAGAAGATCTTAGTTATTTTGTTGCAATTCAAAAATAAATAATTGGTGGGGACTTGAAACTTTAACGTATATTTTATAATATAAAAGTAGTCATTGGCTGATTGTGTATATTATCAACCAGTCAATGACATTTTCATATCGTTCAGATTAATTTATGCAACTGTCTATATTGTATAAGACGATCTAATCCAGGCACGGATCCAGAGCAAAGATCAGGGGGGGGGGCCAACAATTTTTTTACAACACATATTAATTATAATAAAATATTATACTTTATTCTTAATTTAAAAATGTTGACATAATAGTAGGTATAGGTAATCAATGTGATAAATAAATTATTGACTATTTAATATATAAAACGACAATGTAAAAAGAAGTTTAGATTTTGTTTATTTGTTATTTAATATATAATATTTATAAAAAAATATGTCGGGGGGGGGCTAGGCCCCTAGCCCCCCCCGGATCCGTCTCTGTCCTAATCACACCGTTCTATGATAAGTCGGTGGAGGTTCAAAAGTTAATAACAATAATGTACTTATGATATCCCTGCGTATTATATTCTATTATAAATAATAATATAATATAGGTCATTAATTCAATATTTTCTTAAAACATTAAATCAACCTGGGTTTAATAGCTACTAATAAAGTAAATTAATATAATAATATAAATATAAACTATTATAAAGACATCATAAACTATAAAGTATACTTAGTAATATAAGTTGCTTATAATCGTTTAACATAATATGAAATGATTTAGCAATGAATTTAAATTTAACACAATTTACATTTCAGTGGCTTATGCTCAATAACGAGTGTACTCTAGTTGAGTGTAGTTCATCGGCTGAGTGGTTATCTACTTTTCCCTTTTTTTTATTCTTAGATTTAAAGTTTCATATTTTTTTTTTCATTTTTTCAACACATTATTTTCATTTTATAAATAATTAAATTATGAGATTATTAAACGGGTTATAATATTTATAGGAATACTCTAATAAAATTTTTTTTTTATTCTTCTATTGTGTCTTTAAATTTAAAATGCTTATATATAGCTCTCAATCCAAACTATAGAGGTTATCGTTGAATTGAAGTGATAAAAAATACAGTTTATTCCAATTTTCGTACTAATACCTATAAACTTACTAAAATGGTAAACCTCTTAGGAAGCTCAAGTTTAAATTATCATTATGAATAGCCATGTCTAAATAGAGCAGAATATGAATTAAGATTGTATGAATATTCATATATATTATGATAAAATAAAATAAAAATATTCATTCGGATAGAGCTAACTATGATTGATCTATACATTATTGAATTGAAAATGTCCCACCGAGAATCTGATTGAAAATACATATTTATATAGATATATAGATATATTTCATAATTTTAACAAAAATTACGTTGACATAGGTAATACTCGTTTATATTTGTGAAGAGCGTAATAAGGATGTACCCAAATCAGTACCTATTTATTATAATATTATACAATGTATTTAATATTCATAGGTAAAAAAAAACAGTATTTATAAATGGAGTTATTTATATTAACGGTACCAACGGACCACGGTCTAACCTGTACCACACTTTTTACTTCCCCTCAAGTATCTTACATTTTCACTTCTAAAAGTTTCTGAAAATGTTGAAGCCTAACTGTAGACAAACAGTAACTTTACTTTCATTTATGATAAGTGTAATAATTTAAAAATATTTTCAATAACCATTGTTTATATTTTCATGCAATCCATATATAGGAACTCCGACAACAATGCGAACAATTCGCCGTTGACCTGCTTCGACAAACGCGAAGCTCCTACGAACTAGATGTGATTTTAAAGCATGACTCGGAAAATGCACCCAGCATAGGTTCCATGAAACTAAGACTCGTCGAACTTGCCATAAAATATAAGCAAAAAAACGTAAGTTCGTAATTAATTGTGTTGATAAATATGAAAAATCATTCGACATTTTGCGAGTTCTAATAATATTATATTTAATAAAATTTAATTTAATTCACAGTGACATAGCTAAGGGGGTTTTGGGTACCCCCCCCATTTCATAATCCTGCCTACGCCTCTGATAATACATTACCTATATGTATCTATCGTATTACTAGTTACTACAAACATTTCAGGATCAATAAATATAATATTATTATTGATACTATTTTGAAGATAATATATTATTATCTCAAGCATTGAGAATATAAGTGTTTCAATATATTTTGATTTGTCTTACAGTTTGTAGCACATCCGTATATACAACAACTTTTGGCAACCGTCTGGTACGAGGGTCTTCCAGGATTTCGTCGCTTACGACTTTACAAGCAAATAATTGAAATCATCAAAATCGTCTACTTTTTTCCGTTCTACTGTCTCGTGTACTTATACGCACCCGGCGCTCAGATTGGAAAAGTAATGGAAAGACCGTTTATGAAATTTTTAATTCATTCATCTTCCTATCTTTCATATTTAGGTAAGTAAATATTATATATCATATATTATTCATTAAACATCATAAATTATTCATCATTTAACGATATTAAAAGCTGATACCGGCCGGTTTAAAATTATACGTTTAGAATTTTTAGATAACACGACAATACGTCGTAGGTACCTACTACGCTCGTTCTCATATAATTACTACGTATTAAAATTGTTAGACATTTTTTATTTTTGAACAATGCTGCGGTGAATTTTTCCGTTTGCGATAAGTCCTCTATGTTTAAAATCGCAATATTTGCTGTGGTTTAGAATGTACTTTGAAGACTTTACCACACTTATCAAATTGATAACTATTTTTCACCGTAGTAATATTCTAGGTTTTACTTTTAATTCCATGTTTTTAATTTATCTCATAAACACTCGACTAAAGTTTTTCTTTTACCACTATTTGTATATTATATCAGGCTATTGATTTCTGAATTCTTAGTTTTTTTCGTTATACGCCTTTAACGTTTTGACGATCGGAGAATTGCTGTAAAAATGACATCTTAGATACTCGCCCTAGCTCAGCTGTAACCATATGTTGCACCACCCTTGTTCTATCACACGAATAGTCTTTAAATCAACAATTAATAACTGATTCAATGTTCGTTGTTTTAGGCTTATAAAAATGTTCGTTAGTATTTAAAAATGCCTATACCACGATGTCTATGTATTACAATGAACTGAAACCTTTTATGCATAAAATGTCGTCTGTACACTATTAAAGTTACTAACGGTTTTGCAGTCATTATAAGTAAAACATATATTATGCAGACATTTAACTTAGGAGATAAACTGGTCGACATTTCATATCACCTTACAATGCCAATACTTAATGCTAATTGACTTGGTTAATGAATGTACGAGTTTTCTTCATTTCGTCTACATAGGTACCCACCTATTTATATAGGTAATTATTTTAATAATATAATAGCAACAGAACTACAGAACTGGTGAACGACCTGTTAATCATATTATAATATTGTCCTATGACGTATTTGTTATTGTTTTGTGAGTGTTTTGTAAATATTATATTAAATAATAAATTCATATTTTTTTAATTATCATGGTAAATGGGTATCATATTATTACTCATGTATGCATATATCTGCTATTTAAATTTAAATTTGATTATGTTTACGTTTTTAACCAATGAATTGATAACAATTATCAAAATAGATAAAAAAAAAAAAAATAAATAGCCAACACTTATTTTATTTATTTATAACAAAAATCAATAATGGGTGAAATAAAAATTAAAGCATTATTAATATACTTTCTTAGTGGATACTGGATTTATATTATCACATCCCATTGTTGATCTTAGAATGAAAACTGTGCATCTACCTATGTTCAACAAATATTATACAGGTCGTATCAACAAACAGTTCAATATTATGTAAATTTGAATTTTTTGATACACGAATAATTACGACGTGCATTACATCGCAGATACAATATTTATTGACAAACCGTTTCTACAAAACAACAGAACAATAAACATTATGAAATTCATTATACCTTCGGATAACTAGTTCAGTGGTTTTCGACCTTATTGGACTCGCAAGACACAGCCCATTTTAGTTTGTATACCTTAATTGTGGCTCATGTTTCATGTTCCTTGTTTATATGTGTGTATATCAGTGCTTGAATTGGGGGGAGGGGGTGCGCAGGGGGACGGAGCTCCTCTACTATTTTTATTTTTTCTTTGCGTACCCCAACTATTTTTTTTTACTTGGACGGGTATAAATTATGCCCAAAATAATTTTTATTAAAATTTGTAGTGGATCTAAATTGTTATTAAAGATATGCAAACCTAATGAATTTTACATTTTTTAATATAAAAATATTTTTCATCACGAATCGTGTCAACTTTGTAGGCCATGAAAGAAAAAATACTTTAGCTGCTAGTTTTGCTTAATTTACCGTGCATACGTGTGTCCTAAACATTTTCAAAAAAGTTTCAATAATCTTTTTTAGATTCTGAGCGGAGCGATGAATGTATTGGTTTTACAATGATGTATGTTTTTATATTTTTATTTATATTTTAGATTCTGAGTGAAACGATGAATGTATTTTTTTTTATTTTTTTTTTTTATTTTTTTTTTTATTTTTTTTTTAATTTTTTTATTTTTTTTTTTATTTTTGTGTCTGTCATCACGTTTTAGGACAGTAAAAGTGCTTGGATTTTCTTCATCAGTAGCTTTTCTGATAGGAAAGTGAATCTAGTTGGTACTTTGGGGGGTCAAAAGTATAAATTTCCCAGTAGTTTTCACAAGCGCCGGGAAAAACAACATAAAAATTAAGGAAAAACGGAAATTTTTACGCAAAATTGGTTTTCCAAAAAATCGATTTTGGTTTTTGGTGTAACTCTAAAACAAATGAACGTATATACATGAAATTTTCACTGGTTGTTTATATTTGCATTTTCTATACACGATAACATTTTCAAAATATTTTGATTTATTTTGAACTGTTTAGGGACATTTTCATTTTTCATTTTTTTTTAGTTTTTTTTCTAGAAATATCAATAAAATTTTATTTGTTGGTTGCGAAAGCTTGAAAATTTAATAGAAGGCTCCTAATATGTTGTTTCAAAGGCAGATGAAAAATATTAAAAATCCTTAGTCACAATTTTTTTTTATAAGCACTTAAAGTTCAAAAATTGACAAAATATGGAAAAATCACGAAAATTAGCAAATTATTTTGAGTTAAGAATTCGTAAAAATTTTTCTTTTTAAATCTAAGATTTGAAAATTTAACACAAGATTCCTTATAAGATTATCTACCTTTATCAAAAAAAAAAATGTCTATAAGAAAGTCAAATTAAATTTTTATGAGCGTTTGAAATTCAAATTTTTACAACATTGGATTTTCACTCGATTTCTCATGTAGCGATTTCCTTATTTTGTTGTAATTCAAAACGAATAACTGTAGATACATGAAAATTTCACTGAATGTTTATATTAGCATTTCCTATACACCATACAATTTTGAAAATATTTTGACTCTTTTTGAGCTGTTTATGGACATTTACAGCTTTCAATTTTTTTTAGTTTTTTTTTCTATAAATATCAATAAAGTTTTATCTGTTGGGCCAAAAAGTGTAAAAATTTAATACACGGCTCCTGATATACTGTTACAATAGCAGTTGAAAAATATTAAAAATACAGAGGCACAGTTTTTTTTTATAAGCATTTAAAGATCAAATTTTGACAAAATTTTTCAAAATCTCGAAAATTATCAATCATTGAAATTAATAAATTATAAAATGTTCAGTTTTTATAGGTAAGGATTGCAAATTTAAAACAAAGGTTCTCATAAATAGTTCATACTGTAACCAAAAAATCTAAAAAATATATGAACACAGTTATTTTTTACAGACATTTTAATTTCAAATTTAGACAAAATTTCATATTTAAACCAAGAATTACGATTTTAGTTATTTCGTTTTGATTGAATAATATTATTCGTGGGTACTTGAAACTTCTAAAGTGTACTATTATATATCTATGATAGTATCACGGTTTTGTTGATGTATAACGCGTTATAAGTACCTAATGGACATTGTGATATGATTAATTTGGAATTTATTATAGGTACCTATTATAGGTCAATTTTTTGTTTAATACCATAGATATGTATATAATATGTCTTAAACATAGACTGACATACCGTCTCCGCTCAGAATCGTTTTTCTTATACAATGATATTATATCGTTGAATTCAAATTTAATATCATCCATTATACAGTGACCCACTTGTAACCTACTGTACAGCAGAGCGACACCCACTTGCCCACCTTTTTTATATTTTAGATTCTGAGCGGAGCGATGAATGTATTGGTTTTACAATGATGTATGTTTTTATATTTTTATATTTTTATATTTTTTTTTGTGTCTGTCATCACGTTTTGGGACAGTAAAAGTGCTTCGATTTTCTTCAATAGTACCTTTTCTGATAGGAAAGTGAATCTAGTTGGTACTTTGGGGGGTCAAAAGTAAACATTTTCCAGTAGTTTTCACAAGCGCCGGGAAAAACAACATAAAAATTAAGGAAAAACGGGAATTTTTACGCAAAATCGATTTTCCAAAAAATCGAATTTGGTATTGGTGTAACTTTAAAACAAATGACCGTAGATACATGAAATTTTCACTGGTTGTTTATATTTGCATTTTCTATACACGATAACATTTTCAAAATATTTTGATTTATTTTGAACTGTTTAGGGACATTTTCATTTTTCATTTTATTTTAGTTTTTTTTCTAGAAATATCAATAAAATTTTATTTGTTGGTTGCGAAAGCTTGAAAATTTAATAGAAGGCTCCTAATATGTTGTTTCAAAGGCAGATGAAAAATATTAAAAATCCTTAGTCACAATTTTTTTTTATAAGCATTTAAAGTTCAAAAATTGACAAAATATGGAAAAATCACGAAAATTAGCAAATTATTTTGAGTTAAGAATTCGTAAAAATTTTTCTTTTTAAATCTAAGATTTGAAAATGAAACACAAGATTCCTTATAAGATTATCTACCTTTATCAATAAAAAAATCTCTACCGGACAGTCAAATTAAATTTTTATGAGCGTTTGAAATTCAAATTTTTACAACATTGGATTTTCACTCGATTTCTCATGTAGCGATTTCCTTATTTTGTTGTAATTCAAAAACGAATAACTGTAGATACATGAAAATTTCACTGAATGTTTATATTAGCATTTCATATACACCATACAATTTTGAAAATATTTTGACTCTTTTTGAGCTGTTTATGGACATTTACAGCTTTCAATTTTTTTTAGTTTTTTTTTCTATAAATATCAATAAAGTTTTATCTGTTGGGCCAAAAAGTATAAAAATTTAATACAAGGCTCCTGATATATTGTTACAATATCAGTTGAAAAATATTAAAAATACATAGGCACGATTTTTTTTTATAAGCATTTAAAGTTGGAATTTTGACAAAATTTATCAAAATCTCGAAAATTATCAATCGTTGGAATTAAAAAATTATAAAATGTTCAGTTTTTATAACTAAGAGTTGAAAATTTAAAACAAAGATTCTCTTAAATAATTCATACTGTAACCAAAAAATCTAAAAAATATATAAACACACTTATTTTTTACAGACATTTTAATTTCAAATTTAGACAAAATTTCATATTTAAACCAAGAATTACGATTTTAGTTATTTTGTTGTGATTGAATAATACTATTCGTGGGTACTTGAAACTTCTAAAGTGTACTATTATATATCTATGATAGTATCACGGTTTTTGTTGATGTATAACGCGTTATAAGTATCTAATGGATATTGTGATATGATTAATTTGGAATTTATTATAGGTACCTATTATAGGTCAATTTTTTGTTTAATACCATAGATATGTATATAATATGCCTTATACATAGACTGACATACCATCACCGCTCAGAATCGTTTTTCTTATACAATGATATTATATCATTGAATTCAAATTTAATACCATCCATTATACAGTGACCCACTTGTAACCTACTGTACAGCAGAGCGACACCCACTTGCCCACCTTTTTTAAGTTTGGTATATAATAATTATACAATTATCGTATAAATTTAAAATTTATTTATTTTTTTAACAAAAAAGACCTGTCACGACCCATTTTTATAGGTTACGCGACCCAAGATTTGGTACCGACCCACCGATTGAGTAACACTGGTTTAGACTTCCTGATACCTTGCTAATTTTTTTACTTAAGTTAGTTTGTATTATATCAAGCTTATTTTTTTTCCAGTTTAGTAGTTCGCAGATATTATATATAGGTACCTACAAGCTGCAATAAGCTATTGCATTATCAAATATCTGTGGACTAGTGTCCACAATTGACATAGGTATGCGTCTGAAGCACAAATTATAATTATTATTTATTAAGATATTATCACTGATAATTATAATTTTTTTATTTCTTACCGTAATATGTAAGTATTATTTCTACCAATACAAATTTTAAAAAATAAGATGAATATTAAATATGAATCTATATAGTTAAATATATTATATATGGAAATTTGGAATAGAATAAAGTTAAAATTATTTAACCAAGGTGAAATGTAGGATTGAAAAATTACGAATTGGTGAAGGGGGGTGTGGGGGGCTTGCCCCCCACTGGTCTCCATTGAGTAATTTTGCACTTAGAACGCAGCTTATAAATTGCTGGTTTGTGCTCCTCTACTTAATAGTTCCCAATTCGAGCACTGGTATGTATTTATGTTTAAGATTCTGAGAGGAACAATGGAATGTATTGTATTTACAATGAATTTCTGTCTGTCATCAACATTTGATGTAATGAAAATTTTCCAATTCATCAGCATCTTTTCTTAGAGAAAAGTGAATCTAGTTGGTACTTTTAAGAGGTCAAATTTTAAAATTCTCCGTTCAGAATCGTTTTTCGTATGCAATGGTTTATCATTGAATTCAAATATAACACGTCCAATACAATGACATACAGTGAAACCTCGATAACTCGAACGTATATAAGTCGAATTTTCGATAACTCGAATTTTTTTTCGCCCCCAACCGATTAGTTATCGAGGTTTCACTGTACTGAACAACTACTGTACAAGAGTACGGCACCCACTTGTCTACCTTTTTTTTTTAAATTAATTTATTGTGTTATTATTATATGTTTATTTGATTTGTTTCGTACAATTATTGAAGTAAATATACGTTTACAATGTGTATATATTTTTTTAACTATTAAAAGTTTTGAGAAGTTTTGGAAATTTTTGGTCATGACCCACCGGTTGAAGATAACTGACCTAGTTCATTCCTATATTTGGGCTATGCCATTATTATCATGTAATTTACTACCTAATACATATTTCCTAGGTACGACCAATGACAACCTAGTGGCGTTAATATATTTTATAGTTTAACTATAATATAGTACATTGCGTCACTCGATTGTCATTGTGCTAGGCTCGTAGTAGTCAGCTTAAAACAAACACGTGCAATAATAATAATTATTATTACCTACATAATATTTATTTTAAAGGCATAAAGCCCAATATATAATCAATAGAACATTTATCAAAATAAAACAAAATTAGAAAACTCGTAAAATTTCATTCATAACAAACTGCAGAATCAGAGTTTAAATTTAGATAAATTAAAATATAAATATATCATCATATAGTATTACAAATAATAAAAAAATAAACTAATAAAATATACAGTTTATAATACAATTCGGGCAATGATGACAATTTAAAAAAAAAATGATCGTGAGGTTTACTTATATGATTCGGACAATGATAAAAATTAAAAATAAATTATCATACTGTTTGGATAGGTATTTAAATTTTCAATATTTCATTATTTTCCGTCGTGTGCACAACTATATATAAGACCTGCAATCTATATTTTATAATATATATTCATAAAGGAAGTCATATTTATATATAATTTTTTTTTACCACGATATGATTACTTTTGCTATTTTAGTAAAAAAAAAAAAACGTAACACAAATCACGACTAATAATAACTACGGACGCGGAAGATTTACTTATAATATTGTTGCGCAAGTGGATAACGCTCGAAAATTCTAGATTGTTCGATGGGCGACGATGACAGTATAATGGTATTGAGGTATTCAACTACCATATCATATTGAAAGATATTTAAAACGAGATAAAGCTCTACTGTATTATTATCATATTTTTTTGGTGGGGGAAGAGGGGCATTTGTGCAGCAGTTGTTATACTGCAGTAAAGTGATCTAATAATTATTGTATAAATAATTATCAGGAGCCAGTATATTATATGAAATACACATGTATCTGCAGTAATATGTTGTTCAATATGATCACTTAATAATAGTCATTAACATTATAATACTGCTGTACCTACATGTAAAAATTACAATATTTACAAAAAACCAATGTATTAGGTATTAATGCATAAACATTTTTGAAGGGCTCCTGTGAATTGGGGAGGAGGGGGGGAATCTACCAATGTTTTTCTAAACCACTCTTTTTCCATTAAAATAATAACATTTATCATAATTCATTGTTAAGAAGATTGGAGGAGGACGGTTATTTTTACCAAAACATACCAATATTTATTCCATAATACTGTAGTATTTCCATAATACTTTTTACAACTGATTTTAATATTCGTTGTTATGTCTACTTGAGATCGGTCAGTCCAATTTTCTCAATTTCAACGCCCAACAACTATAATTAATTTAGTTTGAATATTTTAAAATTTTGGAATTTTCAGACTAAGATTATTCGGATTTTAAATCAGAAGTCTTAAAACGTGGACTGACCGATCTCAAGTAGACATTATAGCGAAAGACCCCCAAAAATGTCCATAGCTCCCAAACATTTCCTATATTTTGTTTTGAGCTTATCCAATATTATCAAAGTAGGGCTTTAGCCCCCCTAAATCCCAAACGATATTTCCGTCTATGGCGGGAACGCTCCACTATTTCTTTTGCACAAAGTCACACACACTGTCTGATCACTTACTACGCACAGATTTACAAGACCAGCATGCATGTAATTTGAAAATTGCCTAATTCGAACTCCTTAAAAACCGTCCGTCACCGATCCTCTTAATTATAAGAAATAACCAATAATTATAATTAGAAATTTCAATATAAATGTACAATATGTCTATATTATAGTTTTTACAACTCTTTACTACAAAACGTGTTCCCTCCCTGCACACTCCCACTCAATGATGTTTCATTACAACATAATATAGGTATTACATTGTTTCCAAATACCAATAATAATCAGGAAGGAAAAATGTGAACGCATTTAAAATAAAGATAAAAGTTAGCAGTGGTGCTGACCGCTATATAATAACGATAATAATAATATAATACATGATTTTAATTGCAACCCGTACCTATATATCGTATTATATAGATGATTATGAATGGCACTTATTATTAAGTTTGGAATTCGTTTAGTATTTTTAAACTTGAAAAATAAAAATAAAATATACATTTGATATCCGTGTCACCACCGACATTATGTTATATCTACACTTGTTTTGTTTTTCTATAGGTCTATTGGTACTGGTGTCACAGAGGGCCGAAACGCAATTTATAGAGCTCTTCGGGTCCGAGTCTATGAATAAAAGTCTGCAATTGCGACAACTCCGTCAACGAGGCAACGGGCCGTCGTACATAGAGATGTTGATCTTGCATTTTGTTATCGGTAAGACGAACAGATACTTAAATATTCGCATATCGTATAATACTGGCCATAAAGGCTACGTACTAGTGTAGGATCCCCTTCTGGTTATTATTTTTGACATAACACCAAGTATAAGTTGCGAACACGGGTTTTGATTTAAACAAGATGATCACGGACGTGAAATCGTGTATTCATTGAGACCTTTTTATCTTAAGAGGGAAGGTACCTACATAGATTCCGACAGTATATACCTACACTATGCAGATATATTTAAAACAACCTATATTGATTCCACTAATTTGAATATGCAAGTTGAACCGAACCAAGAAAGTGTGGGGGAAATATTAACTTGCTCAACAGAAAAATTACTTCAGTTTGATTTTACTTATTAATTATTATATAGATATATAATATACTTATATCCGTACAATATGGTACACTTACTATTACTTCAGTATGCTTAACGATAACGGGCCTTGATATCATGCCAAAGATATTCTTTGCCATTTTTGTTATTAATCGCAGTATATGACTTGGGTTTCTTATTATTGCCGCAGGATACATCTGGCAGGAGTTACTGGACGTGCGCAGGGACGGCTTGAAGAGATACCTGGCCCACAACGCTTGGAACTACGTGGAATTCGCCAGGAACAAGATGTACGTAACAGTGATCGCGCTGCGAGTTTACGCTTACGTGACGGAAAACTCTCAAATACTGTCCGACCCATCTTCGGCGTTCATTCCCAGGGAGAAATGGGAAACTTTCGACCCACAACTCTTGGCCGACGCCCTGTTTGCCGCCTCCAATATACTGAGGTGAGTGTTTTCTCAGTGCTGAAGTTTTCTCCGAGAGTTCATCAACCCTGTTTTAAATGCAATATCGTCAGCAAATAAAATTAGTTATGGATCAACCATAGATAATAAAAGAATAGATATAGGTAGGTCATTCCTATATTGATGTACGAGGGGTTTGGGTGCCGGAATGTGGATGAGAGACAGATTACTTTTATATAGTGCTTCAGACTGCTTCTCACTCTAGCAAGGGGTTTTATCATTATTTTATCATAAGAACCCTTGTATAGTTCATGCACGTGAGATAAGATATCATGGCTTTTCCATTCTTTTATCATCTATGGGATCAACTAAATAAACCATAGGGCATAGACCTATTAACTAAAGTTGGTCTATGAAATAAATGTACGATTTTGCATCTATGTAGCTATACAGCGCGAGATATTTATTTATTTCTAGTAACAAAAAAATTATTATAGTATACAATATGTGAGAAATATTACAAGAAGTTACTCTACACTGAGGAAGAACCTCGTGTCGTAGAGTAAGAGTACTTATGTAATTAAATAATAGTTATTATTCAGTGCTAAACACAGTGTATTAATAATAATAATAATAATAAAAAGTAATGACAGTTTAAAATAGTCGAATATAATAAGAAATTTGTAAATGGTAAAATATATATATGTAAAAAGAAAAACTCACATTTTAGTACTTTCGATACTTAAAGATCATAATAATAATAAGATAATATAATATATTTTTATATTATAATACACTCAATGACAATATCATTGGAATATTGATATATTACAATTTAATAGTAAATTAAAAACGATTTAACGAAACTGAATTTCAATCTCCCGATAATATAGAGATTTTGTACGAATCGCCGTTCTACTCAACCGTTGGTACCCACTGCGAATTCGGTACAAAAAATGTTTTCACTCGAAATCGACTTATGTTTAATATTTATTTAATATGTTTTATTTTGTTTTGTTTACAGCGCTTTAAAGCTGATCCACATGTGTTCAATAAGTTCACATTTGGGACCGTTACAACTGTCGTTGAAACGCATTCTGATCGATATACTCAAGTTCTTCAGTATTTACAGTTTGGTGTTATTTTCATTCGCATGCGGACTCAATCAGTTAATGTGGTATTTTGCAGAGCTGGAAAGGAAAAAATGTTACAGTTTAATAGAAGCCGGATCGGGCGAGTCGTGCTCGAAATGGAAGAATTTCGGAAAGTGAGTCATTGAGTAGGAATACATATTAAATGGTTAACCGATGTCGGATGAAAAGTCATTAGGGTGGATAGTAAACTTACATATACGTAGTTACAAGTTTAATTTATAACGGTATGTTTTAGTAAATTTGTTAGATACTATAATTAGTATATTATCCACACAAAAAAAAAATTGAAAATCCCCGGTATTTTAAATCACTACATTTAAATGGCTTTTTTAATTTTTAAAATTTCAATTATTTTTCAAAAACGTACAATTTCACTATAATTTATATTATTATGTGAGGATGGCCTACCAACAACTTGTAATAAAATTCCTAATTTTGATTTTTTTTCGATTCCTGCTCCAAGCTAAAAATTTGTATTTATAATTTGAATATTGATGTTTAATTTATTCTCAGTTATTTAAACTATTGTCTTCATGTGTTAAATTAACGATAATTTTAGTCTTTCAATACTGTGGGCCGGAGAAGAAGCAATGTGAGCAACAGTTCCTTCTCCGGCTCTCGATTAAACCGAAAAAAAAAAAAAAATAAAGTCTTTCAATACTGCACTCTTACCCTTTGGTCCTTGGGGTTTTACATATATTTATTTATTTATTTAATAAATATTATATTATTATTATTATAAAAACTAATAACTTTTTTCGAAATATTATTTTTGGGAATTTCCTAACATGTGAAATTACCGATTTTGTTTGAGTTGTTCGGCGACAAAGACGACGACGACAACGACGATAATATGAACTCCCAGGGGTCAAATGTCGTATCTTAATAATAGACGGGGACGAAACGTCGGTAAGCTCATTTTTTTTTTACGGGGACGAAACGGCGGGGGCGAAACTTCCGCGATTCGACTTTCACTATATATTAATAACTATAAATACGATTATAAAGTGCACAATACAAATGGAAAAAATAAAATTGTGAAGAAATTATTAGCCTATTGACCCAAATATAGTAACAAGTATGTCTGGTATAGGTTTTTTCAGATAAGTTAACAATATAATCAAATATCGATAGCATAACAAATAAAACATAATATTTTTAAATCATACAATTTAAAAAAAAAAAATAAGATAAAATAAAATATGAAATAATATATTTATTGCTAAATGAGTAGTCTACTTATACATTTACTGGTAAAATACCATAATATATTATGATATTCACCTACGGGTTTTAATAATATTTATTTCCATAATAGGTACTGTTATAGACTTTTATATTATATTGCTTTGAGTATAGAAACATATCGGTATTGATAGTTGATACTTGTATGTTTTAATAAAACCCAAATGATATCTAAACGGTTTATACGATTCTACTATCAAACGGATTTTCATGGTTAAAAAGATTTTAGAGGCGTTGAGCATTTTTTGATTTTGATATTTGCTCATGGTCAGTTCAAAATTCAAGTCAAAGGTCTTATAACTATAAAATAAATAAACAGGTATATTATATGCACACCTATTAAATCGGTTATTATAGTAACAGTAAGTTGTGCCCACACCCGTTTTCTGTACTGCTCATATTACTAGGTACTCTATTATACCTATACTCATATTGTAATCCATCAAAATTGTACATCGAACCATTTGGCGAGCTTTTAAAGTGATTAATCATCGTTTTCAGACATTATTCACACCTACTACGCCGATATGATACCAGCTATAACGTCAACCCCAATTTCGCTTTGATAATAATTATTGATTAGAACCGTTTCATTTTAATAACGCAAATAGTTTGCTATAAAATTACGTCTTTTTTATTAGAACAAGGTCGTACGTTATGTTTATGTTTACCTCGTGATAAATAATATTATGATAAATGGCCTTATTAATTTCTAATTATGATTTATATTAAAAACAATAACTACGTAGTAATTATGTTTATAATTGTCAAACAAAATATTCGCTTTATTACCCGAATGAATGAGGGTTTTTTCTCTTTAATTATAATGTACTGTCTACCACGTCAAGATTCCATTTTTAATAGTGTAAATAAGTTAATACTCTCAGATAAAATGTTGTCATACAGTACAGTAGAAAATACAATATATCTGAGGAGCAAGGTGGAATTTTCTGACAGTGAAATATATGTGGTAGGACTTAAATAATATTATTTTAACTAGATATAGGAAAAACAAATGTACCGAATCTAGAAACCAAAAATTGCACATCAAACCACAGATATCATGCATTTGGATTATGGTTGACATTTGACAGTTGCTGTTAAGTTACAGAAGCTATTTTAAAAATAAATACATCAACAATAATATTTCTCTTTGAATTAAAAAAAAAAAACTACAAGCAATATCTATATAGTCTCTGGGTAAAAATATTAGATGTGCCCAGACGGGAAAAAAAAGAAAAATTGATAAAGGGTTTTAGCTTATGGGAAAAATATCAAAAATATGTCGTGTGGTAATATTTACGATGTATAAAGTCATCATAGTTTTCTATCATGTACAACACTACAACCTTTTAAGGGTTCACGATGCCAAAATAAATAAAAAAAAATAACTCATGGAAAATTCTAGCCCTATTATAATAACTACGAATTCACCATAAATCCCTGCTTGTGTAATCTAAATGATTTTGAGGGTTACGGTTACGAAAAAATTAATTATGTTTTATGGTTTGAGTATTAGCTGGGTTTTTATATTTTAATTCCTCTTATTTCGAACAAACAAGCCATTACTATGACAAGACTGATATCTATTTGAGCAATAGATATAATATGGTTTAACAGAAATAAAGTCGGTTATTATGTTAAATCTACAGTACCAAGTTGTAGATCCCAACTTTTATTAGGGTTCGGATTTATTCATGGTTTCGATTCATATGGGTTATTCGGGTGCACGGTATAATATGATTACAAGCCGTGACAAAGTAAAATACATAAACCTACTACAGGTACCACGATTTAAGATACTATCTTAAATCGTGCTAGTTGCTTATATATCACGAATGTTGAGAAATAATTATACTATTAACTTATTTCAGTATAGTGCATAATTATTATTCAGTTAGTTTTTGCTGAAAAATACTATGATGTACTCTTAATTGTTAGAGAAACTATATGCGTCTGAATTTAATATAATAGATTGTTATGTGATGTTTGTGTTAATTATTTGTATTGTTTGAGAGAATTATTGTTTATCTGCATGATTTATATTTCCGTCTGATTTAATTTTTTATACACATTTCCTTCGTTAATTATTACGTACTTAAAAAAAATAATAAAAGCCAACACAACATAAATATTAAATATAGGTAATTACGTGACAAGCAATAGTATTAAATATAAAATAAAAAAATTCTGAAGTTTATAATACTTTTTAATTTATTAAAGAATACAAACAGATAATTTGTATTGGAACATAATATCTGTTATTAATAATACTTAAGTAGGGGTGTCGCCGGTTTCCGCCAAAAATGACCTTTCCGTTTTCCGCCAAATCAGAAAAAACGTCATTCCTTTTTCCGCCAATTATAAATTATTGAATTTTAAAGTTTAGGAACCCTTCGTAAAGATTTAATAATTGCACACTATAGAGTTAAAAAATAATAATATTTTTTCCAGTTATTACTTATTATATATTAGTAATGATATTAGTGTACCGACAAAATAAGTCAAAAAATATAATTTTATCATAACACGTATTAGGTAGGTATAATAGATATAAGTATTAAAAAAATGATATTTATATTTGCATTGTCTTGATGACAATATGTCAATATTATACTTATATCTATTATACCTACCTAATAAGTGTTATGATAAAATTATATTTTTTGACTTATTTTGTCGGTACACTAATATCAGTAATATCATTACTAATATATAATAAGTAATAACTGGAAAAAATATTATTATTTTTTAACTCTATAGTGTGCAATTATTAAATCTTTACGTAAGGGTTCCTAAACTTTAAAATTCTATAATTTATAATTGGCGGAAAAAGGAATGACGTTTTTTCTGATTTGGCGGGAAAAGGTATTGGCGGAAAACGGAAAGGTCATTATTGGCGGAAACCGGCGACACCCTTAAGTAGGTAGGTAATAAAACATTATAATATTAAATTGTATAGTAAATAATAATAATTATAGACGTATTGGGATAATGTACCTATATGCTTTGTCAGAACCCATAATTTAACAATATGGTTTATACCTAAAAATTTTCATTTTTACAGCGTGTTTGAATCCATACATACTCTGTTTTGGACGGGTTTTGGTGAGGTTGATCTCGAAACCTTTGATCTACCTGGAATGAAACCTTACACGAGATTCTGGGCACTTTTTATGTTCGCTACATATTCGGTAATTAACGTCACAATTATGTTGAACCTGCTCATCGCTATGATGTCCAATTCCTATTCTGTCATTGAGGTATATATATATATTTTTTTTTTTTTCGTCACAACCATAAAACTAATAAATTGTATACTTGACAAACTTCAGGGTCAATCGGACGTGGAATGGAAATTTTCCAGATCGAAATTGTGGCTGAGCTGTTTCGAAGAAACGCCGACACTTCCCTCGCCTTACAATGTGTATCCAACACTGAAACACTTCAAAAAGCTTTATTGTTTCATATGGAAGATTAAGAAAACTGTTTCGTGGCCTCGGGTATAATTAATTGTTATTTCGTGATTGAACAAAACAATACTATAATAGTGTATCCGTATATATCGATGAAATATGATATTAATTTTTTTATGTGGAAATGGAGAAAGCCATTTTCTTTTACCCAGTATCGCAGCAGCTGAATCATTATACTTAAAGACAACAAATCAAATATTTTAACAAATATTAACTTAATTATTAACTGATTAAAGTGTCTTTATGGCAGTGTATAGGTTACCTATTAAACCTATTATAATAGTTGAAAACGCTTTTCTAACGAACTTTAATCGATCGATTGTAAATAACTGTTTAGGTACACATATCTATATGTTTATATAGATTAAAAGTCGGTGTCATGTGATTATCTATGTTTTTGCATAACATTCGCACAATAATTACAGTTGTTGTATGCAAAAAATATTTTTAAAAAAATAATAAAAATAATTTAATTCTGCTATTACAATCGAATAAAGTAAATATAACCTAACCTTGCACGCTTTTTAATGTGTGTCTATGCAGCATGGATGAATCACAATATATATTATATTATATTTTATAGGCATGATGATAATATTATTATATTATTTCAGACGAATTTATCTTTGAATATATTTTTTTTTGTTTATATAAAAAACCCATTAAAATGATTTCTGACTATTTTAGCCACGAGTTAATATATTATTATATCGAATACGTAGTGAAATAAAGTTCGTGCTATTCCTTAATAACTGTCAATAATATGGCATATGCCCTATTGCCCTGTTATAAGAGCAAAAAAACATAATTGAAAACATTTTATTTTTAAGACGTACTTTTATTTGTTAAAAATATCTACCCATTTCAAGTTTTGTAATAAATTTGAGATACGATTGTTGGTTCAAAAATTTTATTTAATTTTATTTATTAAACCATTTTAAATGTACGGAGAAAGTGTAAATTAATAATAATAGTTAGGTAATACAAACAATTAATAGTTAATATTTTCTAAATTCTGATCAAACATTTTTGTAAAGATCAATTGATAATTTTAATTTTGAAGAAAAAAATCAAAGCCAACATATAATTTGTTTTATTTACAGGATGACAAAGATACTAATTTCATAAATAGGAATCAAAGGGAGAGTGAGTTTGCTACTGTAATGAGAGCCCTCATTTGGCGATATATTTCTATGAAACATCGAGAAATGGAAAACGTGGGCGTAACTGAAGAAGATGTAAATGAAATAAAGTCCGAGCTCAGCACAATGAAATACGACTTTTTGGAAGTACTCCGGAAAAATGGTATGGAAGTGCCCAGCGATCATCGTAAAAAGACCAGTAAGTAAACACTAAATTGATAGTTACTTTAAGAATGTTTAAAAATAATATACAAAATAATTATTTATCATATTCAAACAATAATTAATTTCAAAATTGAAACATTCCTAAATAATACCTCTACTGAAATATAAAATGTTCACCTCACTGCAATATATCTGTGCTTGGGTTCACTTATCTAGTTGTTTATTCTGGACTATAGATATGGAGTGAATTTAAATTAAAAAATATAGTAAATATTTTACATTAGAAAGAATTATTACAATTTCAATCAACGCATAATATAAAATGAATGGCTCATCTAACTAATGGCCATGAACTAAATTGTTTAGTATTTCCAGTATCGGTTAATAATAAAAATAATGTATGGGGGATGAGGTGGCCGAGCGGTCTAACGCGTCGGCTGCGGCGCTGCCGGTCGCGGTTTCGATTCTCGACCACCGGGCGGCATTTTGCTCCGGGCAAGTCACGGTGTCCGGAGAACAAGTGCCACCATCCCCCACTCCGGGGCATGGCAGAAACCTACGGGTGCCCCATTCGAAATTCTGCCAAAAATACACCCACGTGTAACACACCTACCGTTCCAAAACCTACTGTACCACCCCCCTCCCAATGGCCTATGTTGCAGCGGGATAATTAATAAAAAAAAAAAAAACTTATCTATTTATCTATTTAGGTTTATAATTATAAAATAATTAACGAACTAAAAGTCTAAAAATCAATTTATTCATGTCCCCAAACTTTGACTCATTTAGAATATATTATAATTTTATGCTTGTTTATTCAAATAGCTTTAAGTACCTACTATACATATTATTATTTGTACATTGTATTTCTTTGTTTTTCATTTTATTATTCACGAACGATTGTTATTATCAACACTAATTTATGTAATTGGATCTGGTCCGTCTAAAACTTTAATTTATAATTATAATTAATTAAAATATGCAGATTATTACTACCTATTGTAATAACTAATAGCGGCGGTTGTCGTTAAGAGGACGCCACACCCGCATGTGTTGTCTCCGTCTTACAAATGTACAACATAGCAAAAACTCTTTTGCGAGGGACAACTTTTCTCGCACCATATTTGTTGTAGAACTACCAAATTTTCACAGCACTTAAAGAGGAACTTTATCTGTGCAACAGCGTGCTCTTTTTTTCAATAACATATATACAATACAAGTTATTTGCTTCTAAACATTTGGTTTTTTAATTTGCTTATAAAAAATGATTGGATGGTGCTATTGAAAAAAAGAGCACGCTGTTGCACAGATAAAGTTCTTCTTTAAGTGCTGTGAAAATTTGGTAGTTCTACAACAAATATGGTGCGAGAAAAGTTGTCCCTCGCGAAAGAGTTTTTGCTATGTTGTACATTTGTAAGACTGAGACAACACATGCGGGTGTGGCGTCCTCTTAAACCTTGGTAACACGTTTGCTAAATATCTAACTTATATTTTGTGTTCAAAAATATCCCCAATAAAAAAATCTTTCGCCTAAAGTTCTCTAATATTTATGTTTAGACATCCGACAGTTATAGAATATGGTCATATAACTCTGTTTTATACTTGAACTGCATAAAATTGCATTTACAAAAGTTCACGAACTGTGCACAATTAAAATGTTTTATAACTATATTTACAAATCCATCGTCACGAAATACTAGCTTACTTATAATAATCAAGTTCTAATGACACTTATCAGTACCTATACCTATTTTTAAGAAGCAGGAAAATAATTGAATCATTATTTGGTTCTGTACCTATCGATAATACCGGCAGTCAAACAACTTTCGAGCTATATTTTTACATTTAACACGATTTCCCCCAACATAATATGTGTTTTATATGTATGTATATAGAATATCAGTATTATGTCATGTATTATTATATCAGTTATCATATTTACTTATTGTGCAAATTGTACAGATTGTAAATTGTCTTAAAAAAAAAAAAAAACAATTTGTCTAAAAATAATATTTTATAATGAATCTAAGAATTTTTAAGATTTTATTAAATACACACAGGCGGTGACACAATAAGTAATTAAAATTCATATCTATCTTGCTGATGCTTAACTTCACAATAAAATAGGTATGTATAACATACTTACATCTGAAATTCTTGAACCAATTATAGGATGTATTTATTAATTATTTAATTTAAATATTTATCAATAATTGTTTGTACCTATACATTTGTGATAAACTTACACATTTTTTTTTTTTTTTTTATTGAATTTGGGCCCGGCAACTTAGACCATCTAACTCGGAGGAATCAATGGGAAAAATTACCCTTGTACTTTAATTAGAAAAAAAATAAAAAAGATAGAAAACGGGAATTTTTACGAAATATAGGATTTTACTTGTAATGTGTACCTACTTGTACAAACCCACTAAAAGCCATAGTTTTCATATAATAATAATATTTGTGATAGATATTTAAATTGTTAAAAAATTTAAAAATATTAACAAAATTAAAAATAAATTTGGAAACCACTAAAAATATGTTAAGGCAAAAAGTCGGGACGCAATTCGTTCAAAAAGGTTCGTTTGCCTGACTTGGTACGCAATTCATGTGCACCGTCGTTTTCATTGTATCTCAGTTCACGGGAAGATCAGCATCGATGTACCTCGCCTTGTGAACTAATTCGACAGTTATAACTTATAGGCAATACGCCTATGTGGCACTTGGCATAATTTAAACGTTTCGACTCTCCAAATTTCTTTGATCCTAAAGCTACAAACATACGAATATTGATTTTGTCGTATATATTTGAATAACAAACAATTAATTAAAAATTATCATATTTTAAAACAATATTAATAAACACACTGGGAGTTGGCTAGTCTATACCAATTTTTTTGTAAATGCTATTTCTATAACCAATAGTTAATATTCACTATTAACAAAAAAATTATTCGATTTTTGTGAGCCTAAACAAAATGTATGTGTGATCCACTCTATAGCAACTTATTATAGGGGTTCAACAACGAAGCAAATAATACTCCCCAAGTCTCAATGAATTTGAGTCCTGCAACTCTATAAGCTCCATTTAAATGTAAATTCATATTGTATATAGGTTCAAAATGTGATTCAGAACTAGGTACCTTTAGTTATAATCAGCACAAATACAAATGTATAGCTCAGTTCAAATTGAGATAAGAAATTTGTATAATATCTATTTTAGTATTTTTAATTATCTACAGAGTGTAAATACTTACGTATTAAAAATATGCACTTTACAACTGTTCCTATAATATATACATTAAATTCGTTTTGGGGATGAAACTTAATCGTAAAATCAGCATATTTTGTGCAAAAATTTGTAGATATTTAATTAACCATTGAAAACTATATAATATTGTATTATAATATCAAAATTCTAAACTTGGTTATAACCATTTGCATAACTTGTAAAATAAAAACAGTATCAGAAGTAGTAAAGCACCTATAAACTATACTTAATTTAATTATTTAATTAGTGATATTTACATGTATAAATAATCATAAACATAAATCAAAAGTTTATGGATTTTGGTTTATGAAAAATGAAAAAATCCTATCTTATTGCCTCACCGTTTAGGCCACATTATATAAGCTATTAAAAACAATTATAGAGCCATTTTGTTATAGAACAAACAAAATCCAATTTTATAATACAAACACAAATATTTACCTATATTTTAATATTCACTCAATTTGTATGAATACTTTTGACGTCATATCAATTTAAACCACTCTGTATGAATGTATATAAATTATAATATTATTAGACACGAAGAGAGGAAAGGTAAAGAAAATTTATCATTTTTATATTATCTTAAAGAAAAAAAATACTATACATTTTATCTCAAACAAAAATAATTAATCGAATTAATTTAATGATATTCTTTATTTTTTTTTTTATTTACTTCAGCAGTTTATAATGTACCTATAATAGTTATAAAAAAAAATGTGTACTTATCTCGATTCATTTTAGCTTATCGTTTGTTTGCCTTATACGTACATCTTTTATTTTAATAATTGTTTTGCCACCTGCCTAATTGTTTACCCTTAAATAATATTTATAATGTTCAAATATAAATATGTTCAAAATTACCATATGCTATGTAGTTAGTTTATGATTACCTATTAAAAATGTTTGTTTTTCAGTAAATTTATTTAGGTAAGAGTATAAGTCAAATAATAGTCAAAGTATACGTTCAATACTATTTAAAATTTAAATTTTACACGTTTTTTAATTTTCCTCAATGATAATTGTAAATTTAACTTTAAAATTTACTTTTTATCCAATGACGTTCTTCTCAACAATACGAAATAATAATAATAATAATATTTCAGTCTAGTGTCTACTACATTATTTACAGGAAATAGATGTTGTAAATTTTAATACATTATTATTATTTCTGCCTATCTTCGAGTAATGAAGTATTTAATTATAATTTTATGGACATGTATGTTGTATCTTTGTGAATTTATCGTATCTAACATATTATGATATTATATACATAATTTTAACATAAAATATATTCAACAAAAGTTTCCTTAATTTCTTAATTTCTTGTAGTAGTATTTAATGAACTCTGACCAATGAGCAGAGTTCAGAGGTGTTATTTTATTTTTATTAATTATTTTAAATCGAACACGATTATTTTTAAAATAGAAACAAAATTCTGAATAGAACTAAGTCATCGGAAAAATTTGTAGGCATCATATTTTTTCTTTACAGTGTTTATGTTATTATTTTAACGATTTTATATAGAAAATTATCATAAACTAAAAATATATAAGATTTGTATGTATTTTTTCTATTTTTCGTCATAATATTATAAGTTATAAGCACGTTTCAATACATGCAATATGTATAATACAGTATTCTGGCTTAAGTGGAATAAACTAGGTAATAGGCTATACATCCCTCTCCCTGAGTCCTGACCACCACACACATTCCATTCATAGATTAGTTTAGACCACTTGAAATCTTGACAATCCACTTTACGAGATAATCCACTACACTATACTTATTTTTATTTAATAAAAAATTTGCTAATGAAAAACATTGATACACGTTTTTGACCGACATTATATTATAAGAGCACAAAAAATTAATTTAAACGTTATTACTTATTACATAATACCTAAAATTAAAAACTACGATAAGGAATCGAAAACACGAAGGAGACGTGATTCCAGTGGTTAAATGAGATCTATTAATTAATTTTAATTAACCATGGTTGTAGCTACTACATTTAACTATTTAAAGTGTGATTAAAAAAGAGTTATAACATGTGAAAGTTATCATCGAAAAAAAAAGATTTGAACTTATAGGTACCTATGTATACATATTATCAACTGATATCGACTATTGGTGCGACATTTGGAGTGTTTAACATTGCTTTCTGAACATTAGTGTTGAGTGTAAACGATAGTACGATGAACCATAGATCTACATTAATTTACTAACTGAAATATTTAATTAATAGGCGTATGCACGTCATAATAATTAGTAGATGAACATGGTTTGATTTTGACGTTTTAGTGATTTATATTAAATGTATATCAGCACTAAGTATTCAATGTGCATCAGACCGCGTTCCTGCCCTAATTAACTGTTAGACATAATAAAATAAGATATACCTACAACAAAAACGTTTTAAAGCATCTTTCTTAAAATTATGCTTGCTTATAAGTTATAAGTACTTATAACGTTATTACTTATTACGAAACACGTATTGTACCTATACTCTTGTCACCTAACAAATTATGAGTTTACTAATTATAATTACTGAAAAACACGCATCCTGATTCAATTTCCAAAATATCATGCATTATATTTATGTATGTGGTTCTGCCGTAAACAACTTATAATAAGTTTTTAATTAAAATATTTTACGATTAGTCAATACAATTTTTATATACTTCGTTTTTATTGCCATAATTTTAAATCGTCTGGTTGTTCTAACAATCTAACAGGTACACTGTGCACCTCTACAAATATTGAAATTATTGTGATTGGATTTGGCTATAGACTACAGTATACTAACTGTTAAAGTAAAATTTTCAAAACCGGAATTCAAAGGTTAGGAAATACCTAAATAATAAAATAAATTATGTTATCTAATATGATAGATACATAGTAAATACTATGCACCGAGCCTGGGCATAAACGAGTTAAAAAGTTGAAGTTAAGTTAAAAGTTAAATTAATTTTAACTTTTTAAAATTTAATATTTATTAACTTAATTTCTAACTTAACTGATGTTTATTTATATAAACTTAACAAATAACGAGTTACTTTTAATCAAATCAAAGTTACGTTAATTTGTAAACAATTAAATACATTTACTTTTTATTATTTGAATTTTTAAAAAAAATAACTTAACTTAAGTTAATATGTTAATTGTTAGTTTCCATATAACTATTAACTTTAAACTTATTAAAATGTTTTCGATCAACTTAACTTAACTCAATTAAAAATTATCATTAACTTGTTAACTTGCTAAGCGCTAATATAATTTTAAGCATGACTAAAAAAAATTCAAAGTTTGTATTTTAAGATGTTACTAAAAGCTTTAAAAGGTTTTATATCGTGAAACAATGACTCAAAATATAACTACAGATACCACACCCCCGGTCTATTCGTCTGAAAACTGTGATAGTGACGTTAATTATGTATAGGTACTGTTATATAGATCCTAATTTTTTTTTTCTGTTTGAACCGACGGCGCCGAATTGCTTTCGCATTGCTTCCACAACGCCGCATATACTAACTTACCTAACCTATACTATTATAGATATTTTATTAGAATTCGTTTTCTTTCGCAGTGGACAAAAAATCCAAAATCTGGGAACGACGGTTGATGTCGGACTTTTACGTAGCACCAGTGTTTCCGGGCGGAAGCAGTAGCAATAGCAGCATCGATGATATTGTTTCGCTCGAACATCAATTGCGACCGATCGATCGTTTCCGTAAGGCTGTCCGGATGGTGGCAGCCAACTCGGCGTCCGGCAGATGGCGGACTACCATATGTGGCGTGTATCAAAAGTAAGTGCACATAAGTTCCTACCCGAAGTAATGAAACTTAATGTTCTATCGCAGGTGAAACAAATGTCCTGGTTCATATTTATTCATTATTTATGAGATGTGATAGTTGCCTGATTTATCTTTTTAATCGGTCAATTTAAATTTAAATGATTTCATTATGACAAATATCCTTAAATAATACCAAAAAAGTCGAAATGTTTTTTAAACTACATTAACGAAACAAATTCCATAAAAAGATATGTTAAATATAATACCGTGTTTGAATTCCTATAAATAATACTTATAACTATAGGTTATTATATACAATATACTAATCAGCCTATGTCTTATTACAACCAAATTCGGTTTATGAGATTGCTATATATCATATATGCCAAACTATGCAAGTTTTGAAATTATCCAAATTATTGTGCCAGATAAAATCGGTATTATTCGGATGATTTTTAACAAATCACTAAATAATTGTTCTTATAGTACCTATCACTCATACAAATGTATAGGTTTTAATTAATTTTGTCCATTATTTAATGAATTTGACCAAGTAGTTATAATACCTTCTATATTATTATCTACGTGTCTACGACCTATTAAAATCTTTAAGCACATTTCAGTTTATATTGAATATTCATACGTAGAAACTTAAGCAACTTTTTAAAAAATGTATAGTTTTACGTCGTAAATTATCAAAAAACGATAAGCAAAATAAAAACCATCTGAGTTTTAAATTTTCCACAATTTTTAGTTTATTGTTTGTGTTATGATTTTTTCTCGCAACGTTTGAGATGTGTGCAAGGTTTTTATTCGCAAGGTTTTCTTTATATTAATTGTAATACAATAATTCGATGTTTTTGCACAAATGTGTACATGTATTTTTGCACAATGTTGTGTAAACTATAGATATATGATTTGATGATAGAAAAAAATAAAAATAACTATCCGATGATTAGTTATTACTTATTAGTTATTACTTATTAGTAATATATAATTACTTATTATAAATTTATCATAATTATTGATCAAAAGATGATTTTCCTGTATAAATATAATTGGTCCAAACAGATTGCAAATTGTTAATTATGATTGTTTCCGAGAGGTCCAATCTTGCTAAGCCCATATTGTATATTTGTATGACTAGGTATCAGAAATTAATATAATACCATTTATCAGAATTAAATTATTTAATATTACTTTTTATTTTACATTATTCGTGGTCGTCGAGAACCTGCAAACGTTGAAAACAAAAAACTTCTGGCTAACTTGCTGAGGTTGTTCAGTTGTTATGTATTGTTTAAATTTAACAATATTAGTATATACTATATAGGTATAACCAATACTGTCGTGATCGTCCTCGTACTATTATACTATTACCTATACCTATAATATAGGTGAATTAATTTTATTACAAAAATCATTATGCGTACTACAATAGTATAAGTGCGGTCGTTGTATTTTGCAGTCCGCCGAAATCTTGAATAGTTGACTTTATGCAATGTCTATTTTTTGCACAATGATATTATCTTACATAATATACACAGGACGGTATTGTTATTTATTTATTGGTCTTGCGAAATAATACAATAGTGTCTATCTCAGCAGGCGACCATTTTCGTTCTCTTAAATACGTGTATTATTATTAGTAGGTAGGTATTACAGTATCTATGATCTATCGATCTATAATTAGGTATAGACACTGGAGTCTCCTGATTTAATGTTCGTATTACTAAAATAATTTAACACCGTAACGCGTGTTTTTTGCAACATTATTTTTTTTTTGGATAACCCGAAGCAACATAGGCCATTGGCTGTGAGGAGGGAACTGTGTGGTTTTGGTTGGGTAGGTTGGTATACGTGTGTGTTGTGTTTTGGCAGAATTTCTAATGGGGCACCCGTAGGTTTCTGTAAAATCCCCGGGTGGGGGATGGTGACACTTGTTCTCCGGACACTGTGACTTGCCCATTGAAAAATGCCGCCCGCGGCCGAGGTATCGAACTAGCGTCAGCCACTTCATCCCCCAACATTATTATAACTTTATAATTTCTAATAACTAATAAGTACCTAACAAATAGGTAATAAGTAATAAGCAATCTATTTACTAACCTATAATAACAGTGTTATTCACCACTGTCGATTCCTGCCATTCGTGTGAACGATTTCTAGTGGTTTTCAAGGCTAAAATATTAAAGCAGGTATAGTCAAAATTTCAGGGATATAAGACCTGTTGAGAATTTTTTTAGGCCGTGTAATAGTATCGTATTGCTCTACCGTCAAGCCTAATGCTATTTTCCATTTTCAATTGGGTAAATGTTTTCCTTAAATGAAGCAACACGCGTGACTACCTATTGCCATTAGCTGGTTAGCAAATGTGCCTAATTTACATTATTAATTTTATACTACAACTTACCTAAAAAAATATTTTATAGATATTGAAAAGCAGGTTATGCCTTCTTATTAAAAGTACTTACAATTTACAAAAGATTCTCGTGAAGTAATAATGTAATATAGGTAAGTAATAATAATTGTACAGAATTTCGAGCGTGGAAAATATTGGGAAATGTTAAAGCTTGTAGTTACATTTTATTTAGCTTTGATGCAGCTACAATTTCATGAAATTACTTAATTACTACTATGACATGTACTATATTATGCTTACTGCTTGTATATGATTTACATGCAGTTATTGGGTTTTACTATGTGTCCAATATTTAATATTCATTATGATATAATATTATAATATAATATAATATTTTTCAGTTTTCAGTCTCAATGCATTAATATCATAGGTAGAAAGCTACTACATTATGAACCAGTGGTGGATTTAAGGGGCGTTTGGTTGGCAAATGTCGACGTTGTCCCTCTCTTGATATGTATATAGCATACGCACATTTGTATAGTTCATTTTTTAAAATTTTTATCACAAAATAATAAATAACTACATTTTATATTATAAACTTCAATATCATTTACCATTATTGTTTGGTAATTTTAATAAAAACAAAAGTTTCGTAAGTGTGTTACTGATACATTTTTTACACTCTGCACCAAACAAAATAAAACCGACAATTGAATAACATATTATATCAAAAAGCTAGGGTGTAATAGGGTATATATTCAGCTAGGGTGTAATCAGTAACCTGAACTTTTAAATTTTTTCTCATAAACCTGACAGTGGAATAATAAACAAACTATTCATTGCGTTGGCTTAGAACACATATAAAAATGTGGACGGAGTAGGAATGTCTATTTGGGAGTTGGGAATTTGTCGTTTTACTAATGTATAACTGTATCTATATAGTAAAAAAAAAATATCAAATCAGCATTAACAATAAAATAAAAAGTTAATACTAGGTATAAGTAGGTATCTAAACTGGTAACAAAAATATCAAGATGTTGATTGATCAAAAATTAAACAATTTAATAGATGCCATAGCAGCTACCGGGTCTCGCCGAATCTAATCTGAATGTGGATTCGATACAAAAATCACGTGTTCTAAATAAATAAATAATTTTAATCTCGAAGACGATACTATTATTATATTGTTGGTCGGCGATTGAAAACTTAACCAAATAATTAATAAACCATTCAATATTTATATTGCGTTTGTTATACTGCATAATATTCTGATATTATATTCTGAATTTTCCACAGCTCGCCCATCGGTACCACGGCCGGGCTCGGGTCGTTCGTCAACAAGCAGAACCTGAAGTGGGCCATGAACGAGGTGTGGGCTCTGCGTGAAAAGCGTTCATCGACGAGTTCACCGCCGCCGCCTGTGAATGTGCAACAGGCTGCGATTACGACGTCTCCGTCGTCGGCGTCGTACCCGTTCGAACTACCAGAGCGCCGAAGCACTCTGCGCGCGCTCATCGATGAGTTCCGCCGTGGTGAGCACCAACTCCACCGCGGGCCGGGCGGAGACGCTTCGTCGTGGGCCGCCGCAGCGCAGGTCCGTGGGCAACTGCTGAAGGCACCCGAGCCGCCACACCGCGGACCGCAGCAGCCCGCCATGAAGAAATCCGCGTCTGTCTGGTACGCCGCACCCCCTGCGCCCGACAGACCGTTAGTCACCCGGATGAGCATGCCCAACCTGCAATCTGGATCCACCTTCGACCGTCGCCAGAACCCTCAGAAATTCCCCGGACCCATACTCGAGTGACACCGACAAGCATACCAACTGATGCTGCAGTGTTGTCCACGTATTTTTTCCCCTAGCCAAAATCCACATCACCTGGTACGACAACTTTGTTCCACGCTTTACTGGCGAATGGTGGGGAGGGGTGGCTTGTTACCTTTTTACCACCGTAAATAATCTTTTGAATGGATACATAGAGTTTAATATTAAATATACGTAATACGATTTCAAAAATTGTTAAAATAAAATAATGTAAATACACTGTACTTATTTTGTTTTTTAACACTTTTCTTAAGTTTGGTTACACGTCTGTCTGTGATCAAATCTTGCGCGCTCGATTTGAGGCACTTTTTGAAGATGAAAAATTCTGAAAATTTGTATAGACCTTGGTCTTGGATGACAATACAATAATCCGTAAAAAAATTTTTTTTAACTAAAAAGTAGAAAATTAAAAATTAAAAAATTATTTTTTAAAAACACACTTTTCTAAAAAAACAAAAAAATAATGAAAAATTTAAAAGTGTGTGGCGCTCTTAAACTTGACATATTATACCACACACTTTTAAATTTTTCATTATTTGTTTGTTTTTTTAGAAAAGTGTGTTTTTAAAAAATAATTTTTTAATTCTGTTGAAGAACTCCGTGGTTTTGTATATTTAGCAACGTTTTGCTAGTTTTCGATAACACTAAAAGAGGGACGCCACCGTAATATTAAGTGTACCATCTAGTAAAGTGCCAATATAGGGACGTAATATATTTATTTTATGCCATCCGAGTACCACCCTACTATTTTTTCCTCCAAGTCAGACACTTTATTGCGGTGGCATTCGTTACGCCGACCGTTTATAATAATATATATCAATGAAATTATAGGTCGTATATTATATTATTATACATATAATATATTATTTAGCTGCTGCATGGCTGCGTAAACAATGGATCTCGCCATCTATTCGCCTGTCTTTTGATTTCTTCAAAGTTCGGAAACCGTATACATGGTAGTGGTACATGCAGACATTTTAATGTTCGTTAAAATTTTCTAACGTCCAGATAGAAAACTACAAAACTCTGTCAACAATAATTTATTGAAAGTAAGTTTTATAATTTATCTAATTTGTTTTCTGCTAAATATAATAGATCACAATACAGTTCAGCATAACCTCGAGAGAGGTCCATTTTCATGTAGGTACCTATAGCTTTGTACTCTATTAAGTATTAAATCTACAAAGTACAAACAAATCAGTAATAATCATCTACCCCGAAATAGGTTCATCTTTACTATAGGTATTATTATTTATCATTTTCATTAAACATTTAATATTATTCTAAAAAAATATATCAAATCATGAAAATATTATTTGCATTTTCAAAATAAAATCAATATCAATAGGACTGATTAGACTCGAACATCAGATGCATTAGGTAAACGTTTGATATTGTATGGTTTCGTATTTATTATTTTATACACTGTCAATTTTACGTAATTTTTGATGATTAAAAATGTATTATTATTATGTGTTTTTATTTGCATATAATATGGGAACTATTGTTTTATTCATATATTATTATACTAATATTATGTATTCGTGTATATACATTATTGATGTTTATTAATATTATGTTTATACACGATGATTTATGAACAATATATTTTCTCGATGAGATTATTATTTGTGACTATAGTAATAATAATTAATATGTCTATAAAAACAAATAAAACTATTGGAAAAACAAATACATCTTACAAAAGAAAAACAGTAGATAAGAAAAAAAACTAAAAATGTTTCAAAAAATTTAAAAAAAAACAGATCACATAAATTTTAAAAAAAAACTCAAGCAGTAGATGCATTACTAAAAAATACAAAACCAAATCCTGGCAAAAATAGACAAATTAAATAAACCACAACTCCTATTCACCAGAAATATGGAAAAAAATTAAAGCAATCAAAGGACTAACAGGCCAGTTAGCCTGTGTGGGAGACAGTGACTAGATTTAAAAATTTAAAAATAACGACCACCCTGTTCAATTGAACATCCTACTATCCAGTAAATAAAAAAAATAAATGTTGCCATAATTATAAATTCATGGAAATGCGACAAATGCGACAGAGAGGAGTGTCTGGGGGTGTTCCTATGGTAACATACCAAAAATATCAAAATTTACTGTAAATTTATACAAATATAAAAAAAAATCCAACATTAAAACAACAAAAACTTTAAATAGGATTTATTTTCACTTCAAGAAAATAGTACGTTTGCATTTTACGTGCGTGGCGACGCGGACGCAAGGAGTTTTGTAGTTTTACACGCGTCTAAATGTTTTTCTGTTATCATAATATAAATAAAGGTGTAGGTATAGCCGTATAGGTATTGGTATTACAGTGGTTCCGTATGATAAAAAACAGTCGACCGTCTCGATTATTATGATACACATAATATTATATAATATTATATGCACTAACACGCTTTCTGTGCACCTACATAATGTATGTGTGTTACGATTTATAGCGTTTTATAATTAAAGAGTATTATTATTAGTTGCAAATGCACGCAGTGTACACATAATATATGCATATATAGCACGGATTCGTAATGGTATTTCAGTTTTATTCGTTGTACCTACCTTTATCATAATCATTAGACCAGGCGCGTGTCCGAAAAAATTGCATATCAAATTTGTCTGTCGGTGCGTGCGGATGTAAAATTTAGATATACATTTTTTTTCGATTTTATGTTCGGAAAATGACGAAGCGCGCACGCGTGCGTTACACAACGCTATATAATAATGCCTATAAACAGGGGTCTCCAAACTAACAAGTTTTAACCGGCCCGTGGCCCGCATAGGACGCATAGGTAAATATAGATAAAAAAATTATTTCAAAAATGTATTTATATTATATTATATTTATACCTATTTATTTTTATTTAAGTATATTGTAAAGTAAACAATATTCTATACAAAAATATAAAGTAAATATATTATTTATATAGGTACCTATATTATCATAAAGTTAAAAATTATATGTTTTAATAAACTTTTGGCCCGCTAAGAGCATTTGATTTTTTTTTGTGGCCCTTGAATAAAAAAGTTTGGAGACCCCTGCCTTAAAACATAAAAGTTATAATATAATATCCGTGTTATCAACCGTGAGTTTAGGTTTTATGCGAACAGATAAAATTTAAATAGTTTATAATAATATTAATTATAATTCTTGACAGATAAAATAGCAACAAGGACACAGATTTATAAATTTCATACACCATACACGGGAATACGAAATTAGCTCCGGGCCAGATACTGTAAATAGCGACAAACCCGTTATTTTTACAACCCGATTGAGCGTAAAGCGGCGTGTCAAAGGGATACATAATTTTATAAGCTGAACAATTAAAAAAAAAAAAGCTAGTGTAAAAAAATTTGCCTGCGTAACGTTGCCAAATCATACGTTTTCGTACAGAATTAAAATTTTTATGTGCTCAGACGAATTTGTGTATTGTAACTAAAAAGTGGTTTTTATATTATAAGCTCATCACGACCGTATTGCATGAAACTTACTCGAGCTAAATAAAAATGTACCTCTAACCAAGATTATATTAAGCTTAAAAAAAAAATAAGAATAAATATAAACGAAATTCTTTAGTTACTTAAGACATTATACTTAAGACTTAAGACATCATAATTCATGACCAAATAACCTTTTTTTTTTACTGAACAAAAATTTATATTTACAATTTGTATTTACAAGTAGTAGAATAAATAAATAGGATTTGGTTTGATTAGCGGGCGGGGGAAGTCACCCGATGGTGGCACCCCGTGTTACAAATAACTATATAATATTATATTGCTAATGATATCCGTATTGAATAAATACACTGCAGCATAATTATAATATCATGATACTATTATGATCATCGGTACCTATAATTTTCATCATGTGCATCTAAAAAAAATTTGAAAATCAAAAAAAGTTTGATTAATATTATAATAATATTATTATACATTTATAAAATTTAATATGATTGATCGATTATCGCGTAAACGTGTATTGTGCTTAATAATAATTGTGAAGGAAAAAAAGGTGCCTACATATGATCATGTATTATATATTTATATGGCTATTGGTTATACGTAATAATAATAATTTATCATATTATAGGTACATAATAATAACATGCTCTATCTGCGTTCATCCGTAAAATTCCCTTTCTATCCTATTTTGTTATTCTTATTTGTATATTCAATACGTACAAGTCCAAATTCCAAAACAATAACTTTATAATATAGCATTGTGTGTAATAATAGTAATAACACTAAGAAATGATTAATTTAAATAAATTGATATATTTAAAACCTTTTTAAAACTATAATCAGTTTTTATTAAATACCTACTTCTATATATATAGGTACCTAAAATAAAATTCGATGATTTGTTTTGTTTGAAAAACACTTGAAACGTGTATTCTACTTATAATTACTAAACACATAACAATGTATTTATGCATAAAGGTAATACATAATAATATAATATACGCTTTATTATTATTTCATATTATTGTTTTTTTTTTACTTTCGTTGAACTCAAATTGTCCTACAACGCCTTGGAACGAGTCCAGTCGACCTACTCTTTTGCAAATTGTCAACGTTTCTCGTACAAGAATCCTGTGGAGTCAGGCGAATGACATGTTTAATTTATCAAATCATATTATCGCCGCAATGCGCTATTGCAGAGCTATGTAACGCCTATTTTCGGATCCCGTAAAACTGTGTGACGCACATCTAGAGTTTATTATATTGCACAAGCCGCATCGTCAGTGCAATTGCAAGGTTTTAATGTTTTATACATAGACAAAAGTTATAATATTAAGAGTCATTGGTATATTATGGTCGTAATAATTGAGTACGGTCGTGTACATAATATTATAATTTATAACGTTTATGATTATTCAAAAAAAAAAAAAAAATTTACGAAAACGAAGTTTATAATTATCGACACATACAATATTTTGATGCAGGCGAAAAATAGGTAGTATTTACTATTTACGACGTCGTATTGGAGTACCTTGAAGTACTGCATTATTTCAAGCTTCAGCAGGGCGCAGGCGCAGGCCAATTGGAACTATTTTGAAATTAAGGGTTGAGGGGTGCAACGACACACCCTGAACCCCCTTCCCCCAAATTACGGCCCTGAATATAGGTGATGTATGCACCTAAATAACAACATCTAAGATGCCTAAAAACATTGCTGTACTGAATTATTTATTATTTGGAAAACCGGCAAGAAATAGTTTAACGACGTCGAAAATTCCTTCAAACAGATTAATCTGCTATTAACTTAGTAAGCGAAGAACGTGAAACGAGAAATGACCCGATATATATATTGTATGATATATATAACGATAACTGCCAGTGACTGCCGCACTTTCATAAAAAGTCCATGCAAAATCTATGATTTCAAAATATGGTCTCGTTTATACCTCCTGTCTCCTATTGCACGTTTTAAAACGTTTAGCTCATACGGAGAGGGTAGTTATTATGACCTTTAGTATTTGCAGGTATTCCGATTTGGATGGAGCCATACAATTGCATAAAGTGTATATTCATTAATTAAACACAATTTACCAGTATAATTCCCTTCGCAATCAAAAGTATATAATTCGCATAATAGATAATGGTTATATTATAATATTTTATCAAACTCATAAGCAAATCAAACAAAATAAATACCTAACAATGCAATTTTTATATCGCATATGTGTTATAAATAGATTGGAAATAGAATTAAACATTTGAAAAATTCCCTTATTGGTGCACCGGCTAGATAATTTACATCGTTTTTAACTAGATTTTACCTTGAACATCGTAAGTCGTATAATATGTTATAATTTTACAATACACATTATTACCTAATTACGTACCTAGTCATGAACTTGAGTCATATATATTTTTGTTCATGCATCTAAACATCTACCTAATAATTAGATTATTTAAATAAATAAAAATTGTATGTGTTTTTTAAAAAAAAATTCAATGGAACCAAATGATGGTGAAAGCTGCTCTATTTTATAAACCGTTTTTTTCTTGATTAGAAAACCACTACAATGTCTACAATAAAATTAGGTATCTACTCTTATAAAATGGTTTACACACCCCTTCTTTGCCTAATAATCCTCACCGCAAACTAAATGGCACAAGCACGTTTCATAAATATATTATACGCAGATAAATCGAGTTATAGATCTATAATGATGTTTCCAGTTTCTGCTAACATATAGGTTATCTACCTAACTTAAGAGTATTTTGTGTTCAATTGTGATTAACTATCGCAGTAATATTTAACGTTACTACCTATACATAATTCGTGGCAGTTTTTCAACATCGAATTATCATTAATTCGCATAGTATCCAATTACTCGTGGATAAGTAAATTATTTTATCGGGAAAAAAGTTTAATATACTTTTTAGCGGTTAACACTCACGTAGTCACGTTAATCAAAATGCGATAAATTTAATAATTACAAATTCATATTAACAATATAACACATGAATTCTTGAATAATTCTAAAAGCCTGTGAATGCAATACGCGCTGGCTGATATCTCCACACACTATATATTATATATTATATGGAAGCGTTGCATCGTCACATTGTAGCTGCATATACACAGATAGATACATAAACGACGATTGTACTTGAAATTTTTTGAATGCTACGCGCTACAGTCGTATATGTTGCGGTATAAAATATTGACGGACAAGAAATTTCTTGTGACCGAGCATTGAGCAACGAACGATAGATATTACTCAGATATTTATCAAAACACGTCACTGATTTTGGTAGTCTGAATTCCGTCGACCGAGCATATGGGTTAGGACACTAGCGGAGATTCACGATTCCGCATTACACGATTCCGCATATACTTTTTCATTCACACGATTCCGCACAAACCTAATTTGAGACGTTGCCGATTGTATTATAAAAATTATTTTATACTTACATAAAAATGGTCGATGATAATATTACATACAACTTATAAGTCATTTTATAACCTTTGACCATTTAAGATTATAACATTATTTTGGTTTTTCCCTAAATATTATCTTATCTGAATAGTCTACAGGTCTACAGTGTAATACTACAAGGCTGGGCATTAACGAGTTAATAAGTTAAAGTTAAGTTAAAAAGTTAAGTTACTTTTAACTAAGTTAAATAACGAGTTACTTTTTTTTTAAAAGTAACTTCTAACTTAACGATTTACATTTTTCCCCAAGTTATTCAGTAACTTAACGAGTTAATTAATTGTATTGACACGTTAAGTTAATTTTTTCCTAAACCACATATTATTTAAAATTAATTCAATTTTGTAAAATTAATTACATAAAAAAAAAACCCGAAATATTAAATATATTTTATTAAATAATAATTTATAATAATAGTAAGTTTTTATATTGCATATTCACAGAAAATATTTTATAACTATATTATAGAGGGAAATATCATAGGGGTAACCGCATCAAAGAAAAATATAACAATTTACTCAGTACCTAACCTATACCTAATCATTATTAATATCATTACTTATTATTATATTTTTATTCATTCATAGAATTACGATGATAACTTGGCCCGTCGATGTAAATAATACCCGTAGTAGTGTGGTATTTACTATTTACCTAATTAAAGTATAATACACAAAATTAATATAAGTACCTACAGTAACTAATTTTATTACAAACATTTATTCAAATATTGTAAGACATTTTTTGATTTACTGAATTATTATGTTATTTGTTAGCTTTAAAAAAGGTAGGTAGGTAAGTATAATTGTTAATTTTATTTAAAAAAAAAAAGTAACTTATTTTTAACTAAGTTAAGTTACTTTTATTTTCTAATTAACTTGTAACTTTTACAAGTTAAAAAAAAAATGAAGTTAACTTTTAACTTTAAGCTTAACTTACATTTTTCTATATTAACTTAACTTAACGAGTTAAAAAAAATAGTTAACTTGCCCAGCCTTGGTAATACATATATGTTTTATCTGGACTCATCAGTTACCTGTTCGATACCCGTTCGTACGTATATATTGCGATCGCATTATTGTGTTTTACTATTGTCTAGTAACTTGTAAATTGTGTGTGAATTTAGAATTTAAAATGAATAATTTAAAAAATTCAGAAATTCGAATTATAATGTCAGAGAGAAATAAAGAACTAGCTGTTGTTAATGGTTATAAACATAGATTTGTTGGTGTTCGCAAATGCGATCAACTTTTAAAGTGGTGCTGCTTTTCTGACAAAAATTTCACCACGTTTATTTTTTCAAATTCAGAAAAAAAAATAGTTATTGACTCAAAAGGTGAACATAATCATCCGGCTGACACTCCTAATAAAATAGAAAAACAAGTACTCAGAGAAAATTGTAAGCGACGAGCAGAGGAATCAGTTTCTAGTAAACCTATCAAAATTATTCGTACAGAGTTACTCTAAACTCCAGTATCATCGGCAATAAGACACCGTGACATTAAATCCGTAAGTAAAGCAATGTATGATCTACGAAGAAAACATTTTCCTGTACTTCCAACATCATTAGATAATGCTTTACAACAGCTGAGGATTTTAAAATCTGATAAATGTTTCACGTATAAAAATCAACAGTTTATCTATGCTCCGGCGGATGCAAATTTTATTTGTCTTACAACTGTTCAAAATATTAACTTCTTGACTCAATTTTGTTCAGAATTATTTTGCGACGGAACATTTGACTATTCACTTAAGTACTTTTTACAGCTATACATGATACACAGTTATAAAAATGGATTTTATTTACCACTAGTGTATTTTTTTTTAAAAGACAAAACTCAAAATACTTACGTAGATTTATGGAATTATTTTCGACAACTTTGTACAAAAATCAACAATAAAATATTAGATATAAAAATAATACACCTGGACTTTGAAATTAGTGCACATAAGGCAGTCCTATTCGTTTTCCCGGAAGTAAAAATAATGGCTTGCAGATTTCACTTAGGACAATCTTGGTGGGGTAAGGTTAGTAACAATATTAATGTATAGTTATCTTTATATTTATAACAGTTATTTTTTTTAGATTCAAAGTGAATCTGGTTTAAGAGAAGCATATATGGATTCAAATGATGAACTCGGAAAGTGGTTGAAGCAATTTTTCGCTTTACCTTTCCTTGCATAGTTACATGTCATGAAGTAAATGAAGCATTCACTGAACTTATTAGTATTTGCCCCAACAATGCTGTAGGATACTTATTCAGCGACTATATTTTGAAGAATTACATTGAAGATGAATGCTTATTTCCACCAGAATTTTGGGCAGGAAAGCCTTCAATGAATCCAAGGTAATTTTTTTTTTTTATAGAACTAAAAATAAATCATAATTAAAATAGTTACTTATACTTTTTATATGACAACTAATGGTCCTGAAAGCTTTCATCACACATATAACGGTTAATTTTATCACCCTCACCCACATATTTCTTTAGTTATAAAAGTATTGATGGAATTTCAGTCGGAAACCGAAACTAAGATCAGATCAATTACTTTGTATAATGATCGGAAAATATTGAACGCGAAAGAAAACGAATAGTGACAAATGGACGTAGCCGTTTGGTCGTGGCCGTTTGGACGTGGGGACAATTGGACGTAAAAAAAAAAAGTATTAAAAAAAGGTTATTTATAAACACCTATAAATAAACATAAAACTATTGATTTATCAATTGATATTTTTTTTTACGTCCAATTGTCCTCACGTCCAAACGGCCACGTACAAACGGCTAGGTCCATTTGTCCTAGATCGGAAAGAACGTATGGAATTCACCATCAATGCATACAATAAGTATGAAACACATCAAACCAATATAATTCAATTTTTATCAGAGGTGGGTCCTCGGTATCAAGGAAAAAAATTGCAATAATTTGAATATTTTTGTATTATTTTATTATTATTATTATTATTATATAGGTATTATTATTCACGAGATAATTGAAAAACATTTTTCTATAACACTTATTTTTATTTTATTATTATTATTATTATTATTATATTATATTATTATTCACGAGATAGTTGAAAAACATTTTTTTATGTAATTTATTTTTAATTATTTGTTTTATTTAATATTATTATAATAATTCACGAGATAATTGAAATACATTTTTCTACAAAATGCATATTTAATTATTTGTTTCATTTAATATTATTAATTATTATTCTAATTATTTTTCCTCATAACTGGCAACGTCGCAACAATTTTTATGGGGAATCGTGTTAAATTTGGGTTAAATAAAAAAAATCCTTTGTATTACGAAAATGTGCGGAATCGGGTAGGTAAAAAGGTGTATTTTGCAGAATCGTGTGTCGCCCGACACTAGGAGGTCGCCACGTGGCGGAGATGGCACTCAGGATTTATGTGTGCTAAAATTAAATTTGCAAGCAATGGACGCCACCGCGAAGAAAACTCAAACTTGGGATTGCGACAGTATGATAACAAAAATAACACAATAATATAAACAACCTACAGCTCATCGTCGCATAAACATTTTCAAAGATTTGTTGAACGAGGTTGGAGATATTGATATATATATATATATAGGTAGAGGATACTTTATAGATAACTCTACTTGAATTCAGTCGCATATACATATTATACCATACTACCATAGTAAACGATTATGAAAAATCATGAATTCACGTTAATGTCAATAAATTGTTATAATTTTTACGGTAAATTTTTGATTTTAACATTTAAAGGATAATTTTCCTAAAAATCACTTTTCCTATATTTCCGTTAAAAACAACAAAGTTATCGAAACAATTTTTAACATATTTTTTAATAGTAATGCGTTAGTCTCGAAACTGTGTTAAAATAATATTATAATACATGGTTATTAAAATGATTTAAAATGTTTAATATAATTTTATTTTAACTAGAGAAATATGAATACAATTATGTTGGTAATTAGTAATTAGAATAAATAATATACAGATAAATATACTTTTAGATCGCAATCACTATGGGCTAAACATTTTTTTATGATCTATTTTAAGTTTCGTAATAATTAATATTGTATCAAATTCAAAACACAGTCTTAGAAAGTGAATCACAGTTTAATAAAAGAACAATCCGTTGTTATCCGAAATATTTTAAATGTTATTCATTTGAAATGAATTACAATCAAAATTAAAATTCTTATGTAATGTTATTATTTTGTTAAAATAAATAATAAATTGGGATATATATTATAATAAACAAGAATATTAGGTATCATTACAATATGCACTTGTTTTGGTGTTCTTAAATATGAATATTATAATTTGTATATAAAGATTAAATGATTAACATGGATAATTAAATCTAAACATTAAAAAAATACAATAATAAACAATTGTTATTTATTTTATGTACATAATACAATCACCAAAACTCGTAACACAGTTAAAAGTTATTACAGATTAATCAAAAACTAAAGACCTACCACAACAATATTTGTGAAGTTTATCCATGATAATGTAGTTATAACCATAATAACTGTAATATATTTTATATATATATATATATATATAAATATTTATATTGTATTATTGTACTTTAGCACTCATACGACTGTATATTGAATCGAGATCGAATACGTTCAGCCCCGATCCCATTGTATTTAATTACCTATACAATATATATAATATATTATAATTACACCATTCATAAAACCCAACGTTAAAATAATTCAAAAATTTAATCAGCAATTTATATGAGGTAGGTGCAGTGCCCTGTCCTAGGGGGTGGCAAGCGGTGGGGTCGATGTTTATGTATTCTGAAAATAACTATTTTATAAATACAAAAATAATATAATATCTATAAATATCTAATAATATAATATCTATAATCATAATAATATTTTCCCTATAGTATGCAAATTGCTATTCGTGTGGACGTGTAGGCGAAATTCAAAACAGTAGAAATATTATACATATCTAGCTTACTCGTTGTTATTGGCTTGGAAGTTGAAAATACTCAAACATATTTTATATTCTTAATTTAATTATAAGAAAAATTAATCAGTATACTAGTATATAGTATTTATAATCAATGTTACCACGCATAAACCTATCAACTAATGGACAGCGCTTAAAGAGATAGGTCAGGGATACGATTTAGAGTGAGTGAGAAAAGAATCAAAGTTGTACAATTTATACAGTTCCTTACTAGGAATTTATTCGGTGGACTCCTTCACCTAGTTCTTTCTCTCTCAGTCTCTCAGTTATTTGGTTATATGATCACCCAGCATTGAGGGCAGGATGGAGTGAAATGCGCTGTCCGTTAGTTTATAGGTCTATGGTACCACACTACCACCACAAATTAAATGAAAATCGTTTAATCTGTGGTACCACGTACGTACTTGGAAAATTGTTTATCGTCGACGATGACCGATGACGGTACACAATGTAGCTATAATATAGCTACAATATAGCCTATAACATAGTATAAATAGTGTAACAATATAATTTTGCGGTCGTCATTTAATTATTAACGAAAATTATAATAATCTATCGTAATAAGCTACGAAAAATTGGCTCCACGGGCAACGCACGTAACTGACCACGAGACACTCAACTTGTTAATGACAAACACAGATCAGCTAAATTTGTCATTATTTTGTTCAACTTCAACATAAATCTCTTCGATCAGGTATTTACCATTGTCTATTTGAATTACCTACATAAAATAAAATATATTTTTGACCATGGATTACGGAATATGTGTACGGTATTTTAATATCCTGACTTAATTATACGTCCTTATGTCCACGATAGTACTACACACATAATGTAACGCACATATAACAATACACATTACAGTTAAAGAACATATCTTTACTCTATAAATATCCGAAATAAATATTTAAAAAAATTAATATAATTTTTTATTAAACTAAATTTCACATTTATCCATGGATTACAACATTTTTTCTATGTTAGAATCGTTAAAATCATTGTTATCTGAAATTTAAAAACAAGACTGACAGCCGGTAGGTAATATTTTTTTTTGTAAGCATTTACTTACAAAAACTATACTGAATACATCGTATAATTCAGTATCATGTCATATTATACTGTTTGTATCAAAGATATTGTTTGTACCTGTACCTAAGTAGGTATATGTTACTTACTCATTTTGTGTCTAATATATAAAAATACAAATTGGATTTCATTAGCTTATAAAATATACAAATTTAGATTTTTAACAAGACCTTAAAGTTTCCTTAAAATTTCACCGAGCCCCAAAACAACAATATGTTTAAAAGTTCAAAAAAAGTTAAAACTAAATTAAATATGACTGTTTACTTTTTACACAATTACACTTACGAGGACGTTTATTTTCAAGCAAGATATTATGAGTATGTGAAATATCACAAATTAAAGCTGGTCACATATCTCGCTTGAAAACTAAAATATTAAATAAAAGTCGACGCTTAATCGCAGATAATGTACATACCTAAAGTTTGATAATATGTAAATTCACTCTAATATCAAAACGAACAGCACACTATTGAAACTAGTGAACGAAAATTTGAATATGTCGTACGTGTTTAACGGAGACAACAAATGCATAGGCGGTAGCCTCCTCTTAACAGTTAGTACATGAAATTGTGATTAAGAACAATATTATTATAATCTGAATAATTATGTGGTGCTGTTTCCTTACATTTTAAAACAATAATTCGGCGTTCAATAAACGATTTTATATAAAATTCCATCGCCGTTATAATCTTGTTTTTTTTTTTTTTGGTGATATTATCATAATAGTTATAGAAAAAAATTCTAAAAATAACATACAAATAGCAATAATCTATACAGTAGTGCACGTATTATTCAAATTTTTACCGCCCGATATAACAATGTCTACTAATGATAGGGTGATAAAAGCTGTCCAGAAGCTAAAATACCAAATTATACATACCTAAGTGAATATAGTAACCTAGGTAGTATATTGGCTCTATTGCATTTTAAATGTTGTAATAATGCAAATTATTTTATATCCACACTTTTCCAAAGAATACTTACATAGATCGTCATAGTATATTATATCTTTGCTTCCGTTTAATATAACAGCATAATATTGCTTAAAAATACTATTTTTTCCTAAAATAAACTAGAAATCATATTGTACAACGGTTAATTATTTTATTCTATAAAATATAAATAAGTAACAATAATTATAGGTTAGGTTAATAAATATTAACCTAATATAATATAATAAATATTAATAATTGCTCATAGTGTATATACGATAGATACCTTAAAGAAATTTATTGTATAAACAGAACACTAATAGAACAATATAATAATTGTGTGTGTTTTATACGTGATGTTCTCAAATAAAGTCATAATACAATAAAATGTAATCGAATAATTAGTTTAATGGTTATTATTGTCTACACTATAAAATTTATTATAGTTTCACTTTATGTATATATTTAGTAATTATATACCTTTGTTAATAGCTGATCCGGTAAACGTTTAATTGCCCTTAAAGATTATTTTAAATTTTTTTTTAAAAATGTTATTATTTTTTTTTTTGGTGGTCCAAAATAAAAACTTACGGGAGCACCAACCTAACCTATTTAGTGAATATGGCTACGACAGATTTTGTGGCTTCCAATATTACAAACAAACCCACAAATATTTTTTATATATATTTAGAGATTTCTTTGATTTAATAATAATAATAATAATAATAATAAAGTATATTATACATTGCAATTTTTTATTCCTGTTTATCAATATTTTTAGATTTTTTTTATGAGTTTCATTCATATGTATTCATAATTCAAAATGACTGTTTACCCAAATTTACTTTAATACATTTTCCTAATTTCCTTAAATTAATTTATATAATATAAAAATATATTTAATTTATTTGTATAAATAAATTTAGATCACTTTTTGATATTTATATTTAATATTTTTATAGTTATATAATATTTTTGTTGTTTTAGACTTTGTGTTATTGGTTAATGGTTATAAATACATTAATATTGCATGAGTATTTTACAATTGGTAAAACTTAAGTATTCGTATCCAATATCCATGTTATTCAATATTTATATATTCTTCCAAAATTTATTTCAATAGAATTACATTTGAAAATATATTAATTATCTTATAGTTGTATGATTTTAATACTGTAAGATTAATATAATATACAGTAAAACTCCCATTAACGGTCACCTCTATAGGACGGTCACTTCTATGTAACAGTCAATTTTTTTGGTCCCGTCGAGTGTTATCCTACCTCTGTAGGTAAACCTTTCTCCACCAAGATTGGCCTAAATGAAAATGGCATGTTACAATCATCACGTTCGGAAATATTTCTTTTGCAGCTTCATGAGCTCCAGATTCAAAATCCAAATGCAGTTTTTGAACATCGAAAGTTGAATTAAAAAATCGTTGACATAGTTCCAAAAGATATTTCCACATATTCAAATAAGTTTCTTTTGTTTTATTTGCAAGAAAAAAATATACAATAGGCACATAAAAACCATTTGTGTAAGAATGTATGGTATAAAGTTGTAAAAAAAATTTTGGTGCGAAATCAAATGTACCATCTTCAAAAAACTCATTTTGTGTTGTCATAAATTTTAAATTTTCTTTTGTAGTTATACAAACAAATTCGTCATTTTCCGGAACAAAAACAAATTGATCTCCGTTAAATAAACAACAATTATTTTCCACCAGTTTTAGTTGAGAAATTGCTTCGTTTAATGATATGGGAAAAACAGGATACATTTTACGTCGCTTATCGTACATCGCTTTACGTACAGATTGTATATCACTATATATTATGTCAGTCGGCTTATTTTTAATTAATTCATTTCGTATAATTTTTAATGGCCTGGTAGAAATATTATCGTCGGCTTTTCTCTTACAATTCTCCCTCAATATTTGTCGTTCAATTTTTTGTTGACTATTAACTAAATGTTTATGTTCACCAGATGACTGATGCAGAGACTTCTTATCTGCAGTTGTTAGAATATTTGCAGTGCAATTTTTGTTTGTACAGATCCATTTAATATACCCATCTTTACGTTTTCTAACAAAACAGTATTTAAAATTATTTAAGAGAACCAACTCCTTGCCTTTTTCGGACATAATTATTTGAATTTCCATATTGAAGAGAACGAAACGAAACGATCACGATACGACTGAATTACAAATAATACTGCACGACTATCAGACTATACGAATTGAGCTGGTTTTCCATCAAATTAATAAAGATATAATATTATAGATATTCTACATCGTACCTATCTATCTTATCGCCCGGCGTGATAGCAGAAAATCCTTATATTACTATATGATTATTTTGAAAATTATTATTTAAAAATTTGTTATTGGCACCAAATCTGACAACACCGCATGATTAAAGGCAGGTAAAAACGTTCGCAATCGTGTTACCGGAAAAGGTCCGTTCGCAATCGTTCCATTCGCAATCGTATATTACCCGGACGGGCACCTCTAAATAGCGGTCATTATTTAAAGTCCCTTCGGTGACCGTTATATGGAAGTTCTACTGTATTAATAAAAAATTGTAAATTATGTATTTATGTTCTTCACACTCAATGTCTTCCCTATTTTTTAATATATTCTACCCAATACCGATTGTGAAATGTTTAGCTTACTTGCTGCTCCACGTTGTCCCATCTTGGAAAGACGGTGGTACTTTTCTAAAATGCCTATTTTGTCACTCAAACTAAGAGCACGTCGTGTATTAGCACTCATATTAACAACAAAAAAAGAACGTTGAAATTCGAATGACGACTGATTATATTGTGTTATGTATACACATTATTAAGCATGAATCGAAACCAATAATAATCTACAAAAATATGTAATTGTTAAAAACCAATTTATTTCAACATTTCAACCAAAAATTTTCATTTTCTACTATATTTTACAAAACTTGAGTCTTATAAACGAAGTAGTGAGTCTTATAACCGAACTTTGTATAATGTTATATTTGGATACGTCCGGACCATTCCAGACGACTTTGACTCTATTAAGCGACTGAACCTTATATCCGTGAGTCTTATAAGCGGCGTCCACTTATGTATTATGTATCAATGTATGATGTTACCTTTAACACATATCGTTTAAGGCCTTTGGAATATTTTATAGGTTAGGGCCACATAGGGGTAAAATTCAGGCAATTCCAAGTTTCGTATTGCATTGGCCATACAATAATAAATAATAACTGTCCAGACAAATAAAATCAAACCATTCCAACGATGTCGCCGTGTGAAAAAGTCGAATTTTTATAACTTTTTTTTTAAATTTAAATTTTATTCCAGTCGCGTTGAGCTCTGATTTTTTAATTAATTTTAAATAACACCCAAAAAAAAACATATTAAAATCTTCAAAAATATGTGATATATAAACAGGGTGATTCACTAAGTACATCCCCATTTTTCCTCAAATAGTATGTATAATTTATTTATTCAAATTATGATTTTTGGAATTTTTAAATATTATACTTAAAGACCATATTTTCAAATTCGTTAGATTTTTTGTACTACTAATTTTCTGATGGCGATAGTAACTTCTGTTTTTCAAAGTAGAACCCTCCTTTTCTACAATTAATTATATAGTGGATAATTATTTTTAAAATCTTGATATAAGTACTTCATTCAAAATACGAACGAGTATAGTTTCTGAGTTATTAAAATTATTAGGTACAATATTTCCTAAAGTTAGTTTTACAAAAATTTTAAATATTTGTAATTTGGATCTAGTATTTATTATACTTGGAACATTTATATAAATTATAAATGTTAATATATTAATATTAATTACTGAAATTTTAAAATTACCATAGCCCCTATATATACCAAACACATTAAAATTCACATATTATCCAAAGTTAAATAACTCAAAAACAACAACTAGTTTAAATTTCGATTTTGATGCTCCAAAATGTTAAGAAAAATTATCTTCTAAATAATTTACAGTAGAAAAGGAGGTTCTCGTATACGAATCAGAAGTTTGTATATCCACACAATACTCCTTATAGTATAAAAATGTTAAGAATTTGAAAATACGGTCTTTAAGTAGGTATATTTGAAATTGTTTTAAATCAGATTTTGTATAACTGCATTATTGAAAAAAAGGGGGTAAGCGTCCTTGGTGAATCATCCTGTATGCGTTTATCACAACTTATGAAAATAGAGTTTTAGAAATCGGAGTCCAATCCGACCTATATAACGTATTCATATTTCAAATAAAAAATATATATCGAAATCTGACACTATTCATGAGGCATGAGAATTGTTCCTATAAGTCAAATTTTAGTACTAAAACATGCGTCGATTCCGACACCATTATCCGTAGTTTTCGTAAGCGAAAGCGTCTCTATAGTTTATCTTCCAGATTTTTATCGGAAATGTCAACATGTCGGTAGCTTTAATTTATCCAAATTTACTGTTCTAAGTTTATGGCTTTATGCTGGCCGCAACAAGTGAGTTGTTTTGCGTCAAAACATCTGCCATTTTTGTTTTCATCAATCATTATTATATTATAATGTATAGATACATTATCAGCCTTAACACTGAGCCTGTACGTTAATCAAAACTAGATTAAACAAAAAACGTCATTCGTCATATAATATTTGCATTGTACTTATATTATATAATTAGATAATTATAATATATACATACATTTTATGATACAAATATAAATTACGATGATTGTCTGTAAACGTGTACTTATTATGTTTAAGAAGACACCGTCCTGCACGGTGGTACCTCGGGGTCAGTTATATTTGCAGTTTTCTCTCCATACGTGCATACGTAAGAACACTTAATAATAATAATATATCATGGTTATATTATCATAATATTTCGCCGAGAGTCTCGTCTTTCAATTTCGCTTGATAAAAAAAGATTTATGTAGGTAGTGGAATATAATAATTAATAAAGGACATGCGATAAAACTAAATACGATTGAAAAAAATACGACGAGAAACACCCGAAAATATCGTTTTATTACCGCGGTGAGTGGTGAGTACCTCCTACCTATAATACTAAAAACACTTTCATGCTTTTATACTTAAATATTTCATTATGACATTCGTGAACTTGTTTCTACTATTGTAGTTATAATCCATGTGTGAAAAATAGTGACGAAAAGAATCTTACTTCTTACGTAATCACAATATCATTGTATAATTCAAATAATATTAGTATTGTGTTTGTTATAGGTAGAGTTATATAATATTATATAATATTTGGATGTTTATGACTTTCTGTATATTTTTAAGCGTATAAAAATAATATTGTTAATTTATTAAATTTTACCACAGTTTAAAGACACATAAAATCCATATCTTCATAGATTGTTTAAATACGGTTGATGGACTTAATTCAAATATAGAAACTATATTACATAACGAGTAAGTAAGGTAACACAGTGACAATTGATAGTACCGATATACCTATGTTATTGTATGCACAGTGTACACGTGCCTAATTATTTTGCTAAAGTGGAACTTATCTCATATTGCCATATTGGTGGTTGAAGGGTCAACATCAAATGACAATATCAATTACCATACATCTATTTCATTGGTATCAGGTGAATAAAATTCAATTGATATGTTCCGCCTATATAATATTCAGATGTACCTGAAGTATACTATAGCAGTATACTATATTGAGGTCGACATTGGTTTTGCACTGTACTCTGTTCAAGTTAAGAAACGTAGTCGACTTGTGAGCAAAGGTGTGACAATACTACAGATAATTGACTGGGTGCGGTTTTTAAACAGGTGTTAGGTACCTGACAGTGGTCACCTGTGGTCCGACGAAAACTGGTCGCCGCCGACTATACGGTTCCTAACTCAAATAGTGTATAGAAAATGCAAAAGCTTCAATATAATAATAGTATGTGTAATTTATTTTTATACAAAACATTGATTAACTACTACACCATAACTCGTTCGAGAGATCAAAGGCTAATTATTTCGTACTTTACTCATACACAAAGTATTCACTAATAAGTAATAATGGTATATGAATAATAATCATAACCTTTCATTGCATAAAATATATGCCTTGTTATAAGAAAAAATAAGTATGATATATTTATTATAATCTTAGTATATAGGCAGACAAGCACGCTGCAGTATAGACGTTGTACCTAACCTGCCTTCACCTTTGATGCAAACAACGGTGTCGTTAAAACCAATTAATGTGGTGTCATATTATTATTGTATGCCAACCCGGTAAAAAGGCTATTATACCAGCTATCCTTATTTAAATGTATCAGTGATGGCAAAAACGTTCAATAATTTGAGTCATTATGCGGATAACGCATTATTTTTATGTGTCCATAAACGATTGTGGAGTATGTATAGTATTTTTCCGAAAAAAAAAAATAAGAAATAATAAAATGTCCACCCGATTTAAATGTATAGAGAAAGGTAAACCGTTAGTATATAAAGAACGGGACGGTTATTGGTTTCGTTAACTTTTTTTTTGCACATGAACTCAACATTGTAAAGATGATTTTGAATTATTTTTAGCTTTGTTCGATTGTCAAAATTAAAAACATATAGCTGTATAGGTAATATTATGATAATCAAAGAACACCCGCCGAGCTTTAAATGACTTCGTCTAGTTCGACGTACGTATATTACCCATATGGCTATATATAATATATATATATACCACAGCGACCGCAGTGATAATAACAATAATCGTAAGTGCATATAATAATAATTATATAAATAAATAAAAATATTTTTTTCGTTTCGTCTACATAAATATTTTGATTTTCGGGTCAACTATATATTGAGGTCAGGACACTCTGAACATATTATTATTAGCGTCGTTGATTAGTGCGATCATTATAATATTGTTATAGGTCTTGCAGTGTCACCACTCACGTCTCACACGATCAAACCGAGATGTGAGGATCACATTACTATACCTAATAATAATAATAATTACATTATATTATAACAAAGTGGACGTGCGTGCGATAAGTACATACTCTATAATAATGGTGACAGTCGGTTATCGCGATGTATCAAAATATAATATGCTACGGTAGACGCCATACATATTGTGGCGTTGTAGATTCTTTACCTTCTTATTATACCACCCATTATCTCT